AAACCCCGTCCCCGGGAAAACCCGGCCCTCCCCCCCCCCCCTTTGGGGGGGGGGGGGGGCAAGGGCCCAAGGACCCCGGCCGGCCCCCCTCTGGGTTCCCCCCCCCCCCCCCCCCCCCCCCCCCCCTCTCGACGAAAAAAAAAAAAAAACAGGTCCTTGTGGTCCAGGCCGAGAAGCTGTTCCAGGAGCCGGAGAAGACGGCAGCGGAGGTGGCCAAGTTCGCCGGCCTTGCCGCCGAGCACACGTTCTTCGAGTTCGCCGTGGACAGGGAGGCCTCGTGCGACCCCCGGAGGAAGAAGAACCCGGAGGTGGTAACGGCCTACTCCAAGAGAAAGGAGTCCGAGCCGCAGCTGCGCAAGTGGTACGCGGAGCACAACGACATGGTGTCGGAGCTGCTGGGCGAGGAGATGGGGTGGAACGACCGAATACGGTCGGCCTTCGTCAGCCCTCCCGCCCCCTGAGAGCTCTCGTCTCGTCTCGTCTCGTCTCGTCTCTTTTTTGGGTGCTGCTGATCTTTTCGTTAGCTGGTGCCTCCCGCGTGGTGTATGTATGGTGGGGGGGGGGGGGGGGGAGGGCAACGTACGGTCTTGATTGTTCCATCCGTGCTCAGCGCACGATTTGTGATGGGCGTGTTGCGTTGGACCGGCGGTGTGGATCCGCCTTAAATTGGTTGAGAGTGGTGGCTGGCTGCGCCGGGGCGGTGGGGGGGGCATCGTCCGGTCTTGACTGTTCCAGTGTCCTTCCGTGCCCAGCGCACGATCGTGATGGGTGTGTTGTGTTCGCCCGGCGGTGTGGATCCCTTTGTTGGTTGAGAGTGGTGGTTGGCGGATCCGGGGGGGGGGGGTGTACTCATAGTCGTGCATGCCGTAGTCGTTAGACCATTGACCTCGCATCCCTACAAAGCCGGGACGGAGCACGCCGGGTTCTCACCGGACCAGGCTCTCACATCACCAAGCGCGAAGAAGCGAGCTCCGGGGGGTCGTTGGTTGAGAGTGGTGGGGGGAGGGGGGTCCTAACTTAGGGTCGTTGGTCCGCTTTTGATAGCAAGCGCCGGCCGATTTCTTGGAACTGGCGAGCGAGGAGAAAGGTGTTTGTGGGGTTGGTTGGCTTTGAGCCGCGGTGGGTGGATGGGCGGGTCGACTTGACCGGCATGTCTGGCCTCCGCCCACTTCAACTTTTGTTTGATTCGGCTGCCCCGCCCCCGCTTGATGACGTGTTTGTCGTCCTATTTGGCCGCACCTGCTCCTGCCACAGCTTGATGGCATAATTGTCGTCCTATTTGGCCGCACCGGGTGGTGCGCCGCCCCCATCCTAGACCTTGAAGAAAGGTACGCGAGGAGGGACTGCTGCTGCTGTCGATGTCGTAAGGGATATCGAAGTGCGAGCTTTAAGCAGCACTCTGCGGGGAAGAGACTCGTTCTATGTTTTGAGGTTGGTGTTTATGTTATTTGCGATGGATGTGGGGGTCGGGAATTCAATGGCCGTGCCGTTGGATGTACGATTTTACTAGTAGGGAACACGTCCGATGTAAACTAGACAGGAATCAAGACAGCCATCAAGGTCTGTCGTCTTTTACGTAACGCCTCATTATATGTTCGTTTGCCCGTTGTTGTACCATGTTGCGTTGTGTTTACTCGTTCTGTGTGCCTGTCTACTCCAAGGAAAGGCGGCGTCTAGGCGGCGGCGTGAAGGGCGCCGTGGTGTCCAGCGTGTGAATCGCGTTTTTTTTTTGTTCTGTCCTTTTTTGTGGCTTGTGGCCCATTTTTACCGAGACACCGTAAAATCAAAACCAAAACCACACACCTCAATTCGGGTGAAAACACGAAGCTTTTTTTTTGCGGAATTTGATTGTTCCTTCTTGGTCTGTCTTGTCTTTTGGGTGGTCTGTGGTCTTTGGCGGCGCAACCCATCACAGGTTTTGTTTTGTGAGTTTTTCCGGCGTGGACTTTTCCTCCGAAGGAAGTTCCGACACTCTCGTTTCTTCGACGTAGCCTGCCGCTGTGTACGGAGGAGTGAGTGTGTCCTTTGTGCTCTGTTGCGCGTAGGAGTCCAACATATCTGTTGTTGCCGAGGCCGGCCAAGAATCAGGCAGTCATCCCTGGGGTTGAGGGGAGGGAATTGTTTACCGCGGGTGGATCGGTGAAACGCGTCCCGAAACATGGATAGGTTGTTCTTTCTTCGCGCGGTGGCATCATGCAGACTGTAGCGTCCGCCGCGTCGCATGCTTCTTGAACGCCGTCCAGGTTGTAGAACGGCGGGCACTTGTTTGCTTTCTGCTTTGTTGCTTGGTTCTAGGCGTGCCAGCACAAGCAGCCCCTTCGCCGGCTGTTGTTTTTTCGCCAAATAGGTCAGACTTGACGTGAGTCCGTGCCAAGTGTCGCCGGCCTCCCCGAGGTATTCAGCGGCTGTCTCGAGCGAACCATCGAACAACACACGCTTCCGCGAGCGCTGCTGCTAGTGGATCGCAATTATTTTCCCATCGAACGATCTTGATCATCCTTGTTTTTTGGTGGTCGTCTTTCGATTTGGGTGCGAGTGCTGCTGTTGAAAAGTACCGCACCACACACAAGGCGCGGTTCTACCATCGATCTGAAGCGCCGCCTGCTTTTTTACCGCAGGGAAAATAGGTGTTCGATACGGCCTCTTCCAGTTGATTTGGGCCAGGCAGCGGGTGGTGTTGGTGATGTTGTCGTCCGATGTCCTACCCGGTTGTTTCTCCGACAATGATCATGTTTCGCGGCCATAGCTTGGGGTGGATACATGCAATAGGTCGGTGGGTGAGGTGGGTGGGATACGCGCGGCAGTGATTTGGTGGTGGTTGAGGGGGGGGGGTGGGGGAGGGAAGTGCGTTGTTGGTGAATGTTGAATGTGCGCGGAAGACGGGGGAGATTCAACTAAAGTTTGCAAGGGTATGTAAGTGTCTGTAGGGTACTGGAAGTTGTCGCAGAGAACGATCGGGTAGGTATCGGAAGTGCCACAGAACTCAATAGAACAAACAGGGTTTGTGTGAGAAGGTCGCGCACAACCCACAGAAAGTTTCGGGCAGGTTCACAAGTGTCTACAGACGTTTTCTGTAGGGTTTGAAGCGTGAAAGTCTCTCATGAGCGTTTTCTGCAGGGTATTGGAAGTGCCACAGATCTCACAGAAGTTCGGACGTGCCACAGAACTCGTCTTGTAACGTTCTGTATGTAGCGTAAATACCCGGAAAAAACCCGCCGGCACGACGGATGTTCGGAGGGCCTGGTGATGTAGTCTCGGTGTTGTGGTTTGTCGACAGCACGCAGTGTACGCGATACTCAAGAGTGCCTGGAACGCGTTCCCGGCAAAACTGTCACCCACGGCGGTGGTTGGCTGTGGAATCGCTCCTGGGTGTATGTTAAAAAAGATTGAAACATGTTTTACAATATTTTCTTGTTTACGTTTTCCGTATCACCGTAATTGCCGGGTGCCCCGTAACATCTTGGTTCCGTGGTTTTGGTAGGTGGTCCTGGCGGGTGTGGATGGGTTTTGGGTAGGGGTGGTGATTTCAACATTAAACACGGTCAGCATGGAGTGTGCCAAGTGGCCGTTGACATTACGATTTGCCTACCGCCCTCCTTTCGGTTTCACGCCCGTCACGGTTACGTTTGCCCCTCCCTGTGCGTTCCATGTGTGTATCGTCCGCGCTCGAAGAATTAAAAGAAACGCTGTTTGTGCGGTGTGTCTTCTGGGAGAGGTTATTCCCCCATCTCGCCGTCTCTCCCCCACGTAGTGGACTGCGTGTTGTTACGTCACGCGAAGCGACACCGAATGCATCGAATGCCATGACGAAACATAAAACGATGACGTAGTGTTTAGCAGTTGTGGTTCGTCTTAGTAAGGGCGGGGGGCGGGAATACTGCGGGCGAAATCTCTTGGCACATGCCATGGTATGGTTCGAAAAGGGCGGGTACCCGCTATAGGACAGATGGATTGGCCCGGCACGTACCGGCGCTTTGTAGGGTCCACGACTGTGCCCGGCATCTGCAGATGCAAGACGGCGTTCACAACATGGCTCCTAGGCATATTTTTATGCCACTTGTTTTTCGGCGTTCTCCCATCGACTCGTTTCAAGTGCAAAGAACATGCCGCTCTCACCATTCTCGATTTTTTTTCTCTCAAGACAATTTTGGAAGGACCTATACCCATGTGTCAACAGCTTCATGCGAACCGTTAATTCTTTGTTCTTCTTCGCCAACCAAAAACGAAATCTTGACGTCTCGAGCACAGAGGAAGACGGGCCAGAAAAGGGCTTGATTTGGGCCACCGAAGCACTCTCTCTGGGACACACTTGTAGCGCGTGCAGAACGAGCTTTATGGAGGAACATGGAGCGTCGCACGAACACAAAACTGGCCATGCAAGAAGAACATGTGTCTTGTCTGTGTTTTGCCCGATGTAAACCACGCCACCTAACCGCTTTCACAACGTCTAAGGCCCAGCTTTGTGGCGCCACAACAACGTCAATTAACGCGGTTTCTATTCAAATAGATTTGGCCCTAAGAACAAGCTACGTTAGGTTGCGCCCCTCCTTTCTTTCCGCCGCGAGGAGTTTTGCGTATATCGTCCTGGCCAAGTTTCCCACCGCGGGACCCCCGCAGAAGTAGACGATCTGAATCAACGGAGCCCCCATTAGCAAAAATCACGACAACACGGCGCGTCGCACAATACAACGGCAAACGAGAGATTTTTCGGCTGGTGGTGGGAATGGAATTCGCGGCATGTTGTGATGCGACTACAACATGACAGGCCGCACGACTCAGAGAGGTGCCAACAGTGGCACCACCGGCGAGCAACGGCTTGACACTACCCATCGTGTCGGTGGACGTTTGGTCGAGAGCGCCCTTTCATTGATTGTCCACCCAGACACACGACACGAGTCGTTGCCTTCATAACCACCAACAAGGCCGATCGTCACGATTGCGACAACGGTCCACAAGCCAGCATCACGACTGCAATCTGCGTTCGAACAGGCACGCCCTACCATGACCAACACCGCTTCAACTGATCATGCGCCGCCTGGGTGTTGTCCTGAATACCGGATTGATCAACCTTGATGCTCTCCTACCGTGTAAACGTAATCAAGATCGTTCAATCACGGCGGTACGTGAATCGATTCAAATCCGATCGCCCTCTCCTTCTCTCACCGGAATCCAGCTGTCCACCCCGAAAAAGTCGGCTCCGTTGTACATGTACAGATCCGTTGCGTTCACCAAGAAAATCTATTTAAGGATGGGGGCGTGTGTATGTGTGTGGGACAGGGGGGGGGGGCGAGGGGGGTGAGAGAGCAAGAGTAAATCCCGTCCGGTGTGACGAGGCGAGAGAGACAAGGTACCAACTACGAACGCATCTTGGGAGAAGAACTAGTAGACCGCTGTACCACTCACAATATACCCACAGACTCTTCGTGATTATCTGTGGAAGACATGGAGTCGTTGCCGTATTGTAAGAAAATTAAAAATAGGAGCATATATATGTAGTTTGTGGTATTGCCGTTGTGGTACAAAACTACTACCTTCACAGACAGTATGGACACGATCAGAGAGAGAAAAGGTGCCCGCAGTTTTCTGATAGGCCAATTTTTTTTAAAGGGAATTCTGATTGGCCCGTGTATTTTCGGAACAAGCTGAAAATGACAGGGTGGACAATTTCCCTTTCGGATACTGTAGCCAAGGCCGAAAGGCGCACGTACCGTTGAGAGAGCCAAAAGTCGAATTAATGGTCGCCTGGCAAGCACAAACCTATCGTCGACGGACTCGTAGTACACAGGTATAGCTGCCCCAAAGCTACGTGACGTGGAAGTACACTGTACACCGCCAGATCGTCACCTGCGAATGGTTATACCAACTTAGCAACTTCCGTGTCGGTAACGCCGTTCTTTTTCCCTGTGAAACAAACATCAAGCAACGCTTGGTTCAGCGACACAAACCTCGATTAACGGACCCAGCGTTGCCGTAGCCAGGGAGACCCACAGCCCCGCTCGTGTGGCGTCGAAGACATCAAAAACGCGCTCGGCGATGACCGCCAACGACCCCACCAACACCCAGTTCGGACACCCCACGGCTGTCAACAGTCCGCTCAGGTAGTACTGGACGGGGAGTGGGGCGAGTGGGAAATGCGCCATAGGGGAGAGTGGGACAGAGGTTTTGATGCGTTTCAGCCTGAATTCAGGCCCAGAGAAGAAAGGTCGCAGCATTGATTGACCAACCGGTTCTCCTCTGAGACACCTCCGAGGCATTGTCCGATGATGCCAAAAAAGATCACCCAATCGGTTGCAAATATTGTCGGCCCGTTTGGAAGCAGGGATATCGCCCCGAATTGCGTGGTCAAGTGCTTTGTTGACGAAGCAAAGCGCAAGCTAGCTGCCATCGAGTCCGAAGGTATAGCTGTAGGCATGTGCCACCAACTAGTACCCGCCCCCCTCAGATCCCTTTTATCAGGGGGTTGGGCTAAAACCTTTTTTGCACACGGCGTGAGCAAACATATACACTGCCCAAATTCAGCGCTAAACAGACCGACAAGAAACATGACCACGTCCGTGAGACGTATGTCGGCGGTCCGTGCCGTAGATATTGCTCAGCTTGCTCACGAGCAGAATGACGTGAACACCTTGCTGGGTAAAACCCTGCATCTGCGCCAACGTAAAAAAGAGACGTGTCGTTGTTAAGTAAAAAGAGACGTGTCGTTGTTGACACGTGTCTTGCTGCCTTACCTGGAAGCTGAACAAAGAAATCGACAGGAGAACGTCTCGCCACAACGGCTCCCGCTGCGCCTGCGGAGTCTCCAAGGCCTGTGAGAGAGGCATGGACGAAAATAGCAATCGAGAGAACACACGCAAGCGACAGGCGAGCCCAGGAACAGTCACACACATAAAACACACCGACCGAACTGAACAAGCAAAACATCCAATAATCGAACACAGCAGTGGAAACATCGTAACTTTATATAAAAAAAACAAATCCCTCTGTGTGTCAGGCGGTCTTTGCTACGCTTTGCTTGAGCTTGAGGGAAAGGAATCCTTTGATCGGGTGTGCCTATATAGACTCAACGCGCGTGGTGCCTCAATTCCTAGTATCTTGAAACAAAACGACAATCAAAGACCACTTACCACCACCACCATCAGCAACAACAACAACAAGGACATGGTTACAGGCTCGAAGCTGCTTCCGAGAAGTCTGGAAAGTATTGCCAGGATCTACTCCGCTCACAATTGGGGGTCAAAAGAACAGCTTTGGAAATGGAGTTGGAGATCGAACTGGAAACTGGCAAAAAGAGGGGCGCCATGGCGATGGATGTTGCGTCCGCATTTCGGAAGAGTGGAATATCTTAATCCACACTGTAGGTGGACAAGTTCTTGGGGGAGTGAGAGCGCGAAGATGGCTCAACGTCGTTCAGGGGTTTGAAAGGGCAAAACACGCGTGATTGTCGCGCTTACCGCGTCCAAAAGTATATAGAGCGCCCCGATCCCAGCTCCAGCAACAGCGAACAGAGGCGGCACCCTACGTTGAAACAGCAGCACGGCAGCAGAGAATGAAGATGACAAAACTAACGGGGCCGCGGGTGCAAAGCACGGCAAGGCCAAATCCAGTATAAGGCTAGACAGTGGTGGTAACTGCTTAGCCGGGTTTGTTTTTCTGCAATGGTACACACGGCAACATGCTGTAGAACGCCCACACAAAGCGTGCACAGGAACAGCTGTGAACCAACGTTTCAGGGCAAAGATTTTTCGGCGACCACATCATTGGATGCCTGCCAACGCGCTGAAATGGCAGACCCCAGCTCGTGCATGTACTCGGGAGCAGTGGGTACGGGCTCATGTTCATGATCAAGTTGGAGTAGGGTTACAGCACCCTGTCATACATGTCTCCGTTTGCAACATATATATCTACGCCCTTGCATTGCGCACCCCAAGAGACCAGCTTACTACTGCTGTAGATGCCAATGCAAGCAGCGCATCTGAGATGCATCTACACGTTGTGATGCCGGTCAAAAACTACGTCTCTCACCACCAGTCCGTTGTAAGGATCAAGTGTCCGGCGACGTTCAGCTCGATGGGGTGCTTGTACGCCAACACCCCGAAGGCGCTGTGGTAGTTGTCGAGGTTGGGGCCGAGCAGCGCGCCTGCCGCGGCCATTGGCGGGAGTAGACTTCGAAAGGCCGGCTCAAACAATACGTCTCGCGCCCGAGACAAAGGAGTCGACTCTCCGACAGCACGGGACGGGCCTCCTCCGGCAGCAAGCTTCAGCACATGATTTCGGTCGCTGCGTCTGTAGGGCATTGCCCTCTTAATTGCGCTACAATGGCGGGGGTGCAACGGCCGCACGAATGATGTGTACCCCAGACATGATGAGTGATGCAAGAAGCAGACGGCCGCTGCGCCTGCAAGTGCTGCCTTTCTGGCGGAAATGCGCATTTCGGGATATCTTGAGTCACCTCACACAGAAGGACGGGGAGCTCAGTAGACCCCCCCCTATAGAGTGGGAATCGCGGGGGCTGCAACGCTGCTGTAACGCAGGTAGACATGCGGTGCAACCAAGCGACGCTCCGCACATATGCCGAAAGGCAACGTTGGTTGGTTCGCCAGATGCGGCGGGACCAATTCCCGAGCAGGTACATACAGCGTACAGCGTAAGTAGTGTACTTCAGCAGTACAGCAGGTACTATACTCGTATTTCGTCTGTCCCTTTGGTCTTCGTGCCGCTTTTCGCGTCCGCTCTACCTCTCTATTGCACGCCTTGGACGTCTCTCACGCCTGGCTTCAAAGAATGGCCGGGGGTCCGACTCCCCCGCAATCCCCCGCGCGTAATGGTAACAAGATGTCGGGAGCGGTCAGCAGCAGTCCCAGGGTGAGATTCCACGCACTGGATGCCGTTCCACGCACAAGGTACCAATATTTGTGCTCTGACAAGGTCAATCATGCTAGCTGGCCCATCGCACAAAGGGGGAGAGACTACCGAACAGCGACCGCTGGTGTACAGGGTTCAAAACCCGTCGGTTGAAGTTTGAGCAACGTGAAAAAAGGCAGGTGTGCACCTGGTACAAGTATCTCTGTTTTATCCTGTGATAATTAACCACTACGGACGGACGTGGTAGCAAGCACCGTAGGGTGGGCACGTCACTCATAACCTGGCCAATGCGACGATCTTGCCGAAACATGTAGATACACCATTGCTCACCAAGCACCGCCGACGGAACGTGCGTAGAGGTTAAGCATTACCTCGCGGGTCCGATGTGCTGTTGTTGCGGTCATCATTCACGACGCGGATATCCATTGCTGCCCTGACGAACTGCCCTAGATGGTTCTAGACGATCCTCTATTTGTTGAGTCTCTTGTGTTTAACAGATCTTAGACAAAGCTATAACTTCTCGGGCCCGGTCTATCTAGTAGCATTTTTCTTCTACAACCTTAGCAAGGGAACGAACCCTCGACTGTGTTCCGGTCGCCGTCCCAAAGTCTACCCACCCAGTACCTACTCGACAACGTTTTTGGATAGTGCGTTTTGCCTCATTTTTGCTGTGGAGTATTGCTCTCCGTTCATGGTTTTACTGCATGTTGGACGTCTAAAACTCATCTCTCCAGGTTCGACTGACGATGAAGAGATTTCAGAGTATGGAAGCGGGCGCTTGCAGCAACCCTGAAGACGTGCAACCAGCGACGAAAAAGGCGGCGCAAAAACTCACAAACTTCCGGGTGAGCTGACCCCCTGGCCTCGTTGTTGTTGTCCCTCACAGAAGCAACCAAAGTTGTTGCATGGCCGTTCATGATTGAATACAATGCGCATGATTGTCTTGCATGTAGTTTGTAGTAAAGAAGCGGTTGAATACACTAATAGGACTGTTCGTCCACCGCATCAGGTTTCCACACTGACTGGTTGTCCACAGAATAGCGCCCGCAACAGACTACGCCGGGAACAACCATACGTTGTACTTGCACCATGATGCATCCGTCCGCTCATATGTACACTGTCGTTTACGTGTTCGATGTTCTTTGCTACCCGAACTGCAACACGTCAGGGTTACTTGCACAAGTCCTCCGTCGCCGGGTGCTTCGTTGACCTGCTCCAGATGACGGACGAAGGTGGGTTTTTTATTTTTCTCCCATCATTAGATTCTGTCGTCTGCCCCTCTGGCCCCTATCCTCCACTTCTACTAGCTAGACGACCCAACCGGGGTCACATAGGAGGGGGGGTTGGACCCCCTCCTGCGGTTCCTGCCTGAGATATTTTTATATGTCCATCGTTGGAGACTAAAGAAGGGGAGCTCAAATATGAATTTTGCAACACAACGCGTAGCTGACAAAGCTTACTATTGCTGTGTGAAGATGTGTTTGCCGGAGTTAAAAGTAGTAAACACCGCAGGCAGCGGCAGCAGCAAGCAAATATGTCGGCATGCAGTGGGCCTGATTCCCGTTCATGGACTGAGTACCCAGTGCACCCGTTAAAGGCTGGGCAATATCGATATCTCCTGACCATTTTGGATTGTTGTGTGTGTCGCCAAACCCGCCACAATACGAACAAGGAGTAATGACGGAGGCCGGTCTGTACCCGTCCAGCCGCTACAAGCAGTCCCGAAACATGCGACAATCGGGGCTCGGCACCAGTTCCCGCTCCCGGCCACCGACAGGTTTGAATGGTCCAAACAAGAATGACAAGAGCCAAGCACCGCTGCAAGGCCCGTCAAACAATCAGGCCGAAGATCAAAGAAAGAACCAGCGGCAACCGCGGGGGCACCACGGACGGCGGCCTTCGACGGCGTTAGAAACCCATTCTGCGCCCCTTGCGGCTCAGCTCACCCGCGACGCTCCGCTCTCGGCCCGTGTGGGGTTGTCCGCTGGGAATAGCTTCGCGGAGGCAGCGGGGTCACGTATCCTGAGTGCCTCTTCTCCTTCTTGCCACAACAACAACAAGAGCGAGGACATTGCTGGCAGCAGGGCTACTATTCTCGACATCCGACGCACGCAGTGGGTGGAAGGAGGCTCGAAGCAGGGTGTGGGGGGGTGGCTAGAAGCGGACACAGCGGGGCAGTCTCAGCAGCACCAAGGGCAGCTTGTGGGGGCGGTGTCGGCGACCGGTCCGGAAACAAACGATGATGCGGAGGAGGGAGAAAAGGAAGGGCGCAACGGAGGCGGTCATGATGAAAATGGTGGTGATCACCCGGGTGGCCGCTGCAACACGAGTAGTACAACTAGCACGAGCACGGCAGATAGCCCGAAGCCTTTTTCACGGAGAGTTGCGTGGGGAAAAGCCATGAGAGAGCTCTCATCTTCCGTGACAAAAGTGGTGAGTTCTGGGGGCACGCTCTAGAACGGTGTCGCCACCACCCCATCGTTTGTTGGTCGAACGGATCACAACAAATATCTTAGAAACGTGCGAGGGAACTTCACCAGTAGTCTACACTACTGTTTCTTGTGCCGGTTTGACGAAACATTTGAACATCGTGCTTTTCAGCCATGCTTCCAGTGGGCAGAAGCCATAAACTGGTGCGACTGCTGTTTTTGTCCCTCAAACCTCAAACCCAAAACGCCTTCTTAAACCCCAGGTGCACCTCCTCCTCCTTTGACCGATGACCACAAGTTATCATTGCCCTCATTCTGTCGAAATTGTTACCACACCCAGGCGCACATGAAAACCGCCGCGGACAGGGCCATGATCAACAGCTCCCACGATCGGCGCGCGAGGGCGGCCAGCGTGAGGGCCGGGCTGATCGAGGGGGAACTGCTTCGGGCCCAGGTACGAAAATGTTGTTTTTTCCTGGCGAAGATGGCTTTTCTTTTCTCCCTGGACAGGAAAGAACTGGACCGCCTTCGAGAGAAATTAAGTTTTATGAGAAAATAGAACAGGGACGGGGGTACGCAGACCCTTTCCCTAACCTCCAGCCTAACCCACCTCCCCCGATTGCTTGCTTTTTCCAACATTTTTACTTAATCGAAAAACCGGCGAAGGCTACTGAATGAACTTCAGCATGGTTCGGGTGTGAGGGGGGGGGGCAGGGGCAGAGTTACGGTGAGGTAGGAAGGGGCGAGATTCACGGTATTCTCAGTCTGTTAGGTTGCAGCACCACATACGGCCAGCGGTCCCGTGAAGATAATTTCCCCGAAATGACCGGTGCAGGCGCAGGGCGATGAAGCCAACTCATAGTTCGGTCAATTATCCGCGCTTAGCCCGAAAAAACACAAGGGTAGCGTACGTACAAATTATCCCGGTAGCCTATTTCCCTGTACTGGCCCAATAGAGAACTCCGTTCCCAAAGTTGGGCTTGATGGGTAGCCGTTCTCTGTAAGGTTGTTGTTGGGTTCTTTTCTCCCCACGTACTGAATGTGTTGTTTGTGTGTGACCGTACATTCTGATGGCAATCGTACTTACTGTTAGGTATTGATCCTCACAACACCTCGTCGTCTGCAACCTCCTTTTCACTTTCCCTACGAGCCGAGCCTGCATGTTGCCTGATAGCCAACGCGGCCACTCGACCTCATCAACCCGCAACTACGAGATGCTTGCTGCCACACATGCGGAAATGCGGTTGCTTCACACAGCGAAATAAGAGAACGGTTAGATGCCAGTGCAACAACGCTTGCAACCCCCGTCCCGTTGTGCGACCGAAACAAATTTCCCCCTCGCATTCTTGTTGCTGATTCGACATCCCCTTCGAAAAGCAACGGAGCCGCCCAGAGACACCGCCTAGACCAAGCACCTGACGCGGCAACAAATCAAAAGCTCTTGCTACGTGCACCGCCGCGCTCTTCCACCCTCTCTTGTTCTTCTGTTCCACACGCTTTGCTGATGTGGCGTGCTTTAGGCAGCTCTCGCCAAAAATGAAAACAGGAAGCGGCGGGCCACCGAAGCCGCCGCGCTCGCCGCCAGCCAGCGGGGACTTCTAGAAGCAATCTCCTTGGTGGTGAGTCCATCGCTTCTGGGGAGGGGGGGGGGTTCAGCAGTACAGGATGGGTGGGTTGTTAAAGGGGGGGTGATGAGACGTTTTCTTGTTTGTGTGCAGATGCGTGGAATGGAGGTGATTGAAGGTCCTTCGTGAGCGAGGAACGGTCTAAACGTTCGGTGGCACGCGGCGTCAATCGCGCATTTCGTCTCTCCGACGCATGACCGTCTTACGCCTTCCTAGTGGGCGATATTGTCCCGCATACGGTGACACACAAGTTTCTATACCATAGACAGGATGCATACGTGTTCGACGAGCAAACCTTGCACTGTTGGTGCCCCCGTCGGCTATTTCTGGCGATAGCACGCTTAAAACACATCTGGCAGTACCAAACACTCGCTAACTACCGCTCGATCTCTTGCTTCGTGTCCAAGCAGGTGGCAACCAAACGGCTCTGGGCGGGCAGCCTGAAGCTCTCGCAAGACCGTGAGCACCTGGTCCACCTAGGGATAGCTGCGACCGTGGTTCAGCGAGCTTACAAGGTGGGAAAGAGGGGGGCAAGTCGCGGAAGGGACTAAGGGAGGGGACGAGGGAGAGATCGGCCACCGGCCGGCGGTGCTCAGACGACGAGAGAGACAAGTTTTGAAGGAAAATGGTCTAAGAAGACATGGGGGGGGGGAACCTATCACGACCACTCGGACTCTATGAAACGTTGATCCTACTAGTCGTATAGTCGTGTTCGGTCAATGTTTGGGTAGAAAAGTGACCGGAGGTACAACTTCAACCAGATTGTTTTTCGGTACCCCTGAGTGGCACAGAAGAGGTTTCAAGATTGGTTCCAGAATGGCAACAAGAGTTCCACTCATCGGACGTCCGCACTTGCCGCAACTCTGTATACCCTTGTACCCCGATGTTTGATCGTTATTTTTTTCAAATCCTTCTTCGACGCAGGCGTACACCAATCGAAGAATGTTCAAGGTGTTGCTTGCAATCCGGCGGGTGCACTTGAGACTTTACATCGGCATGAACATCCGCCGGAAGCAAATGGTGAGGAGTGCGGTCGTAAGGTAGTTGTAGCTGGCGGTAGCGGTCGCTACCGTCCGCAGAACAAGTGAGAGCAACAAAAAATACGATTCGAAGGGTAATTTCGTAACAATTTCTCGCTGGTCGACGACTTGTTGCCGAATAGCGGCGGAAATCCATTGAAGATTGAAAGAGCAAGCAATGGCGGGTAGATGCTTGCTATGTACTATTTAGCGGACAGATGCTTAGTACTCGCGGACAGAAGCTTGCTGCCACCAAACAAACCAATGACACGGGCAACAGATGAAGTCGTGCACACCTTAACGCCAACAACCGGCATGTCTTGTCGTTGCTGTCGAGAGCAACGGCCCTCAAACTTCTCACCGGTGCAAAGAGACGTAAACTAATGCGGCATTATTACAAGTAGTTTCCATCCTCCTGCCCGCTTTGCCAAACCACCACGAATAATCCCCCCCCGGCAATAGTTCTTCTCAGAAGCCGCTTCACCATTCTTCTTTTCGCCCTGAAGGCGGTGACAAAGATGCAGTGGTTCTTGGCAACCGGCAGCGGGGGGGCTAAGGCGAGGCCACGCAAGGTGATCCGGGCGTTCATGTACCAGGTCCGGCGCTGCCAGCGAGCCGCGAGGGAGTGGCTGGCGTGCCGCGCTGCCACGTAGGTTGTTGGTGGTGTTTGTTGATGTCGATGCTGCCCGCTAATAATGTTGTTGTTATTGTTGTGTGAGTCGCGTTGTCATCGTTGTTACTGCTCTAAGGTGTTGTTGTTGAGTATCTGTTTCGAAACGTCCTGGCGTACTCCTGCCGTCATCACAGGCTTTCCAAACCGAAAAGTTGTCCAAGAAATGTCAATACTAAATCAGATCTAGCAATAGACTGCTGTCGCTCGCCAGAAAATGTGTTTCAGCAGAATCAACTCCAGACACAGGCACTACTGCTGTGTGAGCAGCTGTTTCACAATGTTTGGTGGCTTTCCGATGCCTGATTGCCATCTGTATGACCCACAACCTCTACGGACCCCCCTCGCCCGCCCCCCTCACTCCCCGTTCCGTCGTGCTTTTACATGGCCGTATATCTCCGTTGTTCGATTGCTCATCCCCCGGCTTGCACACCGCGTGTTTGGCATCTCTGCCCGGGTTTCGCCCGGCCGGGTGGGCGCAACAGTATCGAAGCCGTCTGTCGGCTGTGGGACCGAATAGAGTCAGAGGTGAGAGATGGCACTGCCAGCCCCCTCTCGTAAAGAAGCCGCGTCGAAACAAAGGTTGCAAAGGTACAATCTCCCCAACGTCTGGTTAAGCTGGAATGTGCTCCGAAAACAGATGGGAGACTGCCGAGGCTCCTCAGCGAGTAGCGAGTGCTTCTCCACTTCCATTCTGTTTGATTGACTACATATATGTTGCAGGTTTCCACCCTTGTCTCGAAAAAGAAATGTCAGGCTGGGCCTGACTTTTTGAAAATATTGCGTTCTGACGACGAGCACTGAGGCGAATCTCACGTTGTTTAAGCGAGGAGTGGGAAAATCATGCATGCATTGTGTTCAATAGAAACCACCGCAGAAGATGACGAAGGCGTAATGGATGCTACCGATCTAGACCTCAAACCAACGAGACGGAAGCTGACAGTTTCCTAAACAATCGGCATGCTCGCTGAAAATGGAAAAGTCTGCTGTTGTCAGAAAGACCCCCCCGCAAGGAGTCTGTCCGCCGCCGAACAGACGACTGGTGGTTCATATGAAAGTTGTTGTGGTTTGTGGTGCATCTTTATCTGTTCGTCCTCGCCGTCTGCAATACATGGCAAACAACAAGGAGAGACACTATTGTAGACGGCATCAGAAGCCAACCAAGGGACGACAACCTCCCTGCCCGAGGAACGCCGTTTGTTCTAGCGTCTCCTGCCGCCATGCACTGTGACCAAACACTGGCCACCGCCCAAATACCCAAACGAGTGCCTACGAGCGAAGCGGGCCTCGACGCCTCCCACATCCACTCCAAATCGAACCCGCCAACAACACAGTGGAAATTGTTCCGAAAGCCCCTGAGAACGACGACAGAACACCTTCAAAATCCGCGCGCACGATGATAAGTGTTGACCGACGCACAAACGTTGGCACGTATGTACATGTATGTACACCGAAAACGAACAGATCAGGAGAGGGCTTGGGGATGAGCTGGACCGAGCGAAGCGTGTCTGGATGAAGAACGCCCTACGCACGGGCGAGGACAGCCATATCCACGGACAGTGGCGCGAGCTTAAGGCTAGTTACCCCACAATTACACCACACGGTGGGCCACGTGGTATTCTGTACCACCATTTATTATTTGTTTTACCCATCAGACCTTTCTTTTCATCGTCCAGCAAATCGATTTTGTTTTATCGTCATGTTCGTCCCATCCAGTTCCCACCGGTTGCACTTTTTTTACCCCACCGCACGGTGACACGCCTCCTCTTGCTGGAGAACTCCTCCCACCCGGGAGTCAGGACAAACGGAAACCTATCTATCGAGACGACCACCACTGATTCAACAATCCACACGCATGCACGATATATGTGTGTGCACCCAACCAACGCTGGTCCCCGGGACCAACAGGCGAAAACCAGGAGCCTGGTGGCACGAATAGACCGCCTGGAGGCGCAGATGGAGCGGCAGCAGACGCGGGACAAGAAGGCCCGCGTACAGGCCGCGAGGTCCATGCTGAAGCGCCGGAGCGGGGTAACCCGGGGCCACAGGAAGGTCACGCAGGTATGTGTGTGTGTGCATGTGTTATTTTTGTCAGCATCGGCCGCGCTAACCGGCTGACCAATGAAAAGACGTCAGTCTCAGTGCTGTTAAAAACAGAAGATGCTTCTGTCTATGTGCGCGCGTGTGTGTCTCTTTCAGTTCGAATCGACTGCACTAACCAGCTGACCAATGAAAAGACGTCAGTCTCAGCGCTGTTAAAAACAGAAGATGCTTCTGTCTATGTGCGCGCGTGTGTGTCTCTTTCAGTTCGAATCGACTGCACTAACCAGCTGACCAATGAAAAGACGTCAGTCTCAGCGCGGTAAAAAACAGACGCGCGTGTGTGTGCTTCTTTCACCTAGAATCGACCGCGCTGACGGGTTGACCAATGAAGAGGCATCAGTCTGAAATCGGATACAAAACGCGAACAAGCTTGGTCGTCAGGCTCTCCCATCAGGGGGGGGTGGAGGAGGTTGACGACACGACCCAGTCTCCGCATTCCAAATTACACTAATTTGTGCCTTACTTGATTCTTCTTCGACAGCCTCAGGAAGGGAAAAATGTAATGGGATCTGACCGCTTCCTCCAGAATAAATTACCTTTAGGCTGTGTGGAACGCTCTTGTCCGACCACAGGTGCAGGTTGTAGTCCGTTGTTCTCTTTCTCTATATTAACGCTTTCCCAAGCTAACTCACTCAGATTTTCAAGCACACACGATCACAGCCTCGGCTTATAGCCCAAATCCTGCATGACGTCACGTCATAGCATCTGACACACGATCGATGCGATTTTTGTGTCTCTTGTGCCTTGATCTCCATGGGTCGAGGGGGGTAGGGTAAGCCTCTTTGTTGGAAATGGGGGGGGGGGTCCTCGCTGTGAACGGCTGTAGTCTCTACATCATAGATCGTTGCATCACTGAAAAGCCGAGACAGGCATCGTCAGGCGGGTAGGCTTGATGATCTGCGGGGAGGGGAGGGTTATTTGTACTTCAGGTAAACACCAAGCCTGAAAGGTCTTCTAGCGGGGCTTGATATTTGTACAACCAAACGTATTTGGAACTTGAAACGTCGACGCCCCCCCCCGCGTGTCCATGGCGAAGGAGGGGGAGGAGAAGGGGGGATTGCGGGGTTGTGTCACATATATGAATCCATCTTGCCAGGTTTCGTGACCTGTCTCGGTTTCTGAGATGCACTCACACTGACATTTGAGACCCGTCTATGATCTATCGTCAAGGCCCAGCGAGCCTCCCGCGAAGTCTGTAACAATACGTTTGTGGCTTGAGCATCATTCTTAAGATGTGCACAAGATGCCCCCCTCCTCCTGCTTTCATAGAACCAGGCTTGTTTCCGGTGTACCTGTACCTACCGTAGGTGACAGTAGACGTCACACCCCCTGGACCGCATATCAAAACTCGATTTCATCATTACGAAGAGGATATATACATCAATCGATACGTTTCGGAAAGCTTTAGACGAGACGGTTCCAACGCCACTTTTTCTGCCGTGGAGTTGTCAGCTTTTGAACACCGATCCCTGGGGTACGATATCTTGTGTCACCTGCGGTAGCTCTGTGTTGTGTCGGTCTACCCGGGGTGCTTCTGGTCTTCACCGCGCAGCAGCGAAAAAGAAAAGAGACTACGAATTTTGACATTGTCGCGACCGTCCGTTGAACTGATCGATCGACTATTACAACAAGATGGACTCCGCGGAGAATCTACGGACTTCGACCGTGTCTTCGAGCAAGCGTCTCGCCATCATCCGCAGCAGCCTCAACGCTAAGTTCTCGCTGCACCAGCAGGGGGGTAGGCGCGTGGAGCGGACGGGCAACAGGGTCATCGGTGAGATGGTGAGTGCACTGAGCTCCCGCCGGCGGTTTCTGAACCCGCTCTTATTCTTAGTCAGTATTTCTGAGTGCCCACATCCACCCATTCTAGCTTCCACACTACCATAGATCATGCTGCACGCCCGCGTTCGACCCCCAATATTTTTCTTCCAAAACTACCCTAACCCCCTTTGGGTCCCCCCCCCCCCCCCCCGGTGTTTGCTATCGGGGTTGGGTTTTCGTCGCTTGGCAACGACGTTGTAAAACAAGCCCCCCCCTCGGTGTTTGCCATCGGGATCGGGTTTTCGTCGCTTGGCAACGACGTTGTAAAACAAGCCAATTCACTTCGTGAACTCGGCAATCAGGTTAACGTTTTTTTTTTACCTCTGTTGTTTTGTTTTGCGGTAACCATAATGGTGGTCGAGTAGATCATGTTGTGCGGGGTGGAGAAACCTCACTCCGCGCAAGGGGGATGATCGCACCACGTTGTGTTAAAAATGGTCAAGCATCCTCGAGGCAGCTACACAGTGCTTGCAACTGTCTCTGGAAGTGAAAGCACCAGAAAATAAATTAAGTCATACGCAGCTGTCATCCGTACGCAAGGAAGTAAGCACAAGATGCCGAATACCCTTAGCAGGATGCAGCTCACCCTTCATGCGACTCGCCGAGTACCTCACGGCGCTTCGCGCTTGGTGATGTGAGAGCCTGGTCCGGTGAGAACCCGGCGTGCTCCGTCCCGGCTTTGTAGGGATGCGAGGTCAATGGTCTAACGACTACGGCATGCACGACTATGAGTACACCCCCGCCCCCCCCTCCGTTCGCTGGGATCCATACCGACAAGCTTTCTGTCTCGCCCGATAGAGGGAATCAGGGACAAAGGGGCTGATTTTAGCCACCAGTGTCCAGAAACTATTGTCTGCAGAGGGCACTGTACTGATAACGTCCGGGGCTTTTCCAGTGGGCGTTTCCAGACCAGCTACTTGAGGTGTCATGCCTTTTGAACCATGGGCAGTCGACCGAGGTTCGCCCCACACCACACGTTGCTGTACAGTTGCGATTAATGCGGAAGAGGTGGAAGGAAAAACCACTGGGTTCGGCCAGGCAACACTTGATGTTCAGCGTCGTTTTTTTTCTTTTGTGAATGCCTTGTCTCTTCGCTTGTGGCTCGATCCAAGGTACATCTCACTGGATGCCGAAAACTACAAATACATATGGAGTGCTGGTGTGGAATCAAACCATGCGTAAACACACACACACTCGCCCGTGCGATGTATCGATTTGGTACTCTTTGTTTCTTCTCTCGCCTATCTATGTAGGTCGTTTTGTGCCTTCTCTCTTGCTACGCGCACGTCATCATCATCAACTTAACGAGTGCTTCCAACGCAAACGTCCCGCGTCCGGTCGTCGGCGAAAAAAAACGTAGCGTGTTCTTCCGAAATTCACGCGGCGTTGAGGTAGTGGCAGCGAAATCGAGAGCAGCAGGCCTTTCTTTTTTGATCGAGAGGCACCTAGCGGGTGCGTTTGGAACCCGTAGAATCCGTACGGAACCCAAGTAAACTCCGGTCGGGTTCGCATTCTCACCGACACCATGATTTCGAACCAGTTCACGTATGCATATTTGCCGCGTACATCCTGTAGGATAGTCTTTCGAGCCATCATTTTGCGTTCCCGACCGTGAAACCGCCGGCCATCGCACCGCGCCGTGCCCACGCAGGACGCGCGCATGGTGATCCGAGGGGAGTTTCCGGACGCGCCGCCCGATGATGGTAGCGAGGGAGCAGCGGCAGGGACATCATCAGCGGCAATCTCCGTGGTGCGGTCTACGAAGCGCTCGAGAGCCCTGATATACACCGGCGACCTCGGCAGGTAGCACAAGCAAGTGTCAGCGGTGCACAGTACAGGTGGCCCTGGCCACGCTGGTTTGTGTAGTATGCGGTGCCCCGCGCTCTCATCATCATCGTTTCCAATTCCCCCGATTGTTTGTGGTCTGTGAATGTCAGTGTCCTTGATCCGAGAGGGCTGAATAGTTCCTAAGAGGTGTGCCAGTGAGAGTTTCCCGCGAAATACCGGTGTGGTTTGTTGTCACGGGGGGGGTATGTGGTAATGGCGAGGAGGAAAACTGTTGAGAAGGTGCGTAACGTGTGTTGGTTTGAGGTATAACCGATTGTTCCGTGCCAGCCGCCGGAATATGGAATCAAGAGAGAGTTGTTGTTGTTGTCTTCACATTAGTGCTCAAGTTTGTGGTGATAAGAAACATTTGTCATTCTAAATTGTGACGACGGACTCTCTTGTGTCCCGCCTGGTCTGTTCCGAACTTGGAAGCACGGGTTAGAGTTGGAACGGTTTAAGTGCAAAGACAACAACAACAACAACAACAACAACAACAACAACAACAACAACAACAACAACAACAACAACAAGAGCAAGAGCAACGACAATTCTGGTGCTCAAGGTACAGTTACATTTCGTTGTGCCCGAGGTGTATCTAAGTCTAAGCCTGCTTGGAAGTCTAAGCCTGCTTGGCATGTAACTACCATATCCCGCAAATACAATATCTCGTGCTTACTCTCAGATCCTGGCAGCAGATAGTGGAAGACACGGTGATGCAGGACTTCCGACGCAACGCGTTCGCAAGGAAGGACTCTATGCCGTATCTCCAGTACAGTGTGGTACTATCCCTGGGTAAGAGCTTGGCATTTATATCGTGTCGTAATAGTTACTGCAGGGGGACGTTGTGCTGCAGCTTTTGCTTGTCCGAATTCCTGGAAGTGCGCCGTGCGTGCCTGCAGTGACTTGCCCTCTAGGCTAGCACACCACCCACAAGCAGTGGTCTGATATCATTTTTTTTTTTGCTCTCATCACTTTTAACGCGAAAGAGCAGTACACGAAAGACAGACGTAACAACGGTAGGTTGTGGTTTCGAGCGGCCGTAGGCGGAAACTTTTGCGTACCACCCTTTGTTCTTGCAAGTGTCTTCAGTGACAACCCTACCATTTGTATCTAACCAAACAACAAAATGCACTCGCCTAATCCCGGAGGATGGAAGCGATTCCTCCTACAAGGGCAAAGACAAATTCGCGCGCCACATGATTACAACAGTTTTGCCTTTCTGCGTCGTTTTAGGTCAATCGTAACGTACATTCGTGAGAGTACGTATGCATATTACCGGTGACCGATTTGTGGAGGCGACATCTCATAGGGACATACCTCGAAAAACGTTTTGTCGAAGACGACCTCTTCGTCGACTCCAAGGTGAAAAGTGAAAAGGGGGAACCGTCCTCGACAGACGTCGGGGAGATGTGTGACTCTTTGTCCAAGGCCGTTCCCACACACTAATATTTGACCTATGCGAGGATCTCAGGAATTGGTGCACACGAGTTCCTCTGGTTCGTGTAAGGCGCCTGTGACGGTGGGTCCGAGATATCGGGCAAATATGTGACATACACAGCAAACCACGACAGCAACAGTTCATAACGGCAATAGAATTTTGCACCAAAGTTGCCCTCGGAGGGCTCTAGACTATGACTTCTTCGGCGTTGTAGTCTAGAAAAGGCTGCAGCAAATTGCGCCGACACACACACACACACGTTGGAGAATCATCCACCAGGAACGAACACAATCGATTTGCGACTGCCGTTGCTTTCTCTGCTGTTTACAATTCCCACCGTATCAGATATGATGGCCGCTACAGGGAACACCGATGGACCGTCGGCGTCCGCTATGGCAGCAGCATCACCAGCGGCGGCAGTACCAACCGGCGACGCAACCACGGCGAACGGCAGCGGGCGGGATGCTTTAGGGCGGGCTTCAATCGGCAGCACGGCGTCGTCGGGCTTGGAGCAGCGGCGACGCCGAGGGCGGGAGGGTTCGGCGGGTGGAGGCGGATCGGGAGCGGCCCGCGTCGTGCTTGAACCGATTATTTGAGCCTCTTGTTTTTTAGTTTTTCAGGGCTCGCCCACAACAAATACATGGACGTTTTTCTACTCTCTCGATTGGTTGGAGTTTGACGACGTCGTCGAGTGGCCCGTATTGAGCTTGAATCGATTATTTGAGCCCAGAGGTTGCCGACAAGCAACGCTTCGCGTGGTTGTTGACGTTGGTCCTCTCTCGGTTGGTTGGACCTTGACTAAGAGACAAGTATGCAAGCTGCGGCCATGGCGGCAGCAAAGACTCCTCCCTCCCCGGAGCCTCAACAGCAAAGGCCATGACCAAGCAATGCAGAAGGGGCTCAACGAATCGGGGGGCGGGGGCGGGGGGAGATAAGCCATGTGCCTCGCGCTCGACGAGCCCATGGCCTTAGAGGGCGATGACGGCACACAGTGAGACAGACACCATGCTACAAACACGTCCAACGATGACGCCTGAATACACCACGTGCCCGAGAAAACGGCGGCAAGCAACAGCGAGACCCTTTAGCTGTGCGCGCAAGCAGTTGATTGTTGGAAAATTTGCTCCAGCGACCGCAGAAATGGAAAAACATTTGATTTCCGGGTCCGTGCGATGACACGGCGGTGCCCTTCTCGAAGAAACCCTAACGGACAAGGTTCATGGGCCTACCCAATAGTTGTAGAGGAGAGTACTCCACTCACCCCCCCTCGTTTCACTCCTCTGGAACACGACATACTGCTTGTCACCGCTGCGACATGGAACCTAATCGGTGTTGTGCTCTGCCAGCCTCATATTGCCGCGTCACACTAGCGCGATTTCTCTTGCCGGTGACTCAATACTTGGCGTCAACCGGCTAGCTATTATACCTCACCCAACCCCCGGTTGCGTTGACAGTGCCTCGGAGAGCTTGCCTACCATCTACAACCCATACATTACCACAAATCGGAAGATATTTGTTTTTGCTGTCGGCTTTCTAATCATTTTTCTACACCCGATACTGCCGCTAGCTGGGTTTCCCTTATAATACAAAAATCACATCTAGCACTGCTCCTCTTTTGACTAGAACGTACAGCGCATGCTCACAAAGTTTTATCAGGAACAACACTGCAACACGAAACACAAAAAGTATCTACCCTGAGTATTTATTTTCTCCGGGAACACGCGATAAATCTAGCAATATCTTGAGGGTCATCGTGACATGCGGTGTCTTGAAAGCAAAAAGGCACACGCATCACAACACCAATTCTTCGTTACGTATCCACACCACCAATTCTTCGTTACGTATCTTGCTGCTGTGGCAAACACAATTCGCTAGGGGCTGGTCACGTTCTTATCACCGCGCCCGCATGTGCATTCCACCTTAGCGGCTTATCCTCCGCAAGCTTACAAATCCTCGGGGGAGAGGCAAAAGCAACCCCCCACTACCAACACCATCGGCAGCAATTGGGTGTTATCCCCCTCGAGACCGCCACAGATTTGGGGACCGCAGTAACACAACACACTTGGAAAATGAAAAAATAAAATTCTTGCGTTACTGCGGTGCCAGCTGACGCTGACATTGGTCCAACTCCGTCCTCCCTCTGCCTGGTATTGGTATCAAGGACGGTATGAGGTCTCCGGGCTTTCTTTGCATAACGCCGTTGCTGCAGCAGATCTTCACCACGACCAGGTCGCAGCAGACGTAGCCCCCGGTGCAGTCAAAGCTCGTCTCGCACGCCAGGGGCCCTTTATAGTCTATCGGCCACATCCCCTTCTTCTTCTTCTTCTTCTTCTTGTTCCTCGCGAGATTTCTTTCGTCGTTTGTCGTGTCACCACGGCTGCTGGTGTCATCCTTGTCTTGGTCGCTGCCCCCCCTCCCGTCAGGCGGCGACGACGACGCACCCCCCCCATTCCCCGATTCTGCGGAACCCCCTCCCGCACCCTCCGAGGAAGCCTTCCAAATCATCACCCCCCCGCCGTCGTTGCTGCCGCTGCTGCTTCTGCTGCTGCTCGCATCGAACCCCACTGCCGCCAGCTCACCCTTTTTTCGTCTCGTGATGCTTGCAGCCCGCACCCCCGCTAAGCCCTGAAACGCCATCGCCGTCCCGCTCAGGTCCACAGGTATTCTTCTCTCGAAGTTACCCCCACTCCTTCTTCTGCCGCTCCGGTTGAAGTCGTCCATCCCCCCCCAGACGTCGCCGCTGCTGCTGCTGACGCTTATCATACCCGGGGCCCCCGCCACGCCGCCGCTGCGCCCCTGCGTCACCCAGGAGGGGAGCTGCATCCAGGCCTGCGCGAACGGAGGCTTGACCGGGGTGCCGTTGACGATGATCGTCTCCACGTCGTGCCGCCGGACCAGGCCCTCCGTGCTGAGGCCGTACACGCTCGTGCCGTCCAGGTGCACCGGTCTCACCACCATCGGCGTTGCGTCCAGAACCAAGTGCCAGGTTATGCGCACCTACAATCGTGGCGGGGGGGGTTCTGTTATTGCGTGCCTTGGCCATTGACCACGCGTCCTCGAGGGGACGGAGCATCGTTCCCCACAGGATCGATCACGGATGGCCAATCGTTCCTTCCTACTTTGCCACAAGTGGCTCCAAAATGTGTTTATGTAGCGTATCTATCCCATCGATATCAATCGGGGGGGGGGGGGAGGGGGGGGTACTCATGTAAACGCATGCCGTAGTCGTTAGACCATTGACCTTACATCATTACAATGCCGGGAAACCCGTCCAAGGCTACACTTCACAAGGATGGACCAGAAGCTGCTCATCATTCTAGTGTTTGTTGTCGTGGGAGAGAGGGGGGGGGTACAGAAAGGCGGTACAAGTAGTTCAGGCGCAAAAGCCGTAAACTTGCATGAAACGCCGCGGAAGCCGTGTAGAAGGAACTGTGGCAACAGGCCGCAAACGGGGAAAACAAAAACAGGCATGGTACACTAAAACGGGCAACACACAAACTTGCTGCCACGCGTTGTGACGGAGAATCAACTCATGCAAAAAGGGTATTGAAAAAAAAAAACTTACACCTTCCGACGGTCGGTGGATTCCTGGGCCCACGTTAATGCTGACAAAATAGCAAAACAAGAACACAAAAAACAACACGTGAAAAAAAAAAAAAGTAGATAAAAGTGCACCTGCTGTCTGGACCCGTCGTACGAGAGACGGAAAACCGTCGAGACGTCATGGACAAGGGTCTTCCGCACGAAGCGAAACGTCCCGAACATGCGCTTGTACGCCGGCAAACCCGTGAGAACGACGCCCGACTGGTGTGGGGTGTGTCCCCCAAAGGCATGGGTCAAGGGAGGGAGGGCACGGAAGAGGGTCGGGGGGTCAAGGCACTCTCGGCAGAGAAGCACGGCCTTTCCGTCCAATCACCGGCCTTCTGCGCGCCACAAGAATATCTCTACCTGTGGAGTACGCTCGCTACTGCTGTACTGCGGCGACGACGCCCTTCGCTACATCCAAAAAACTGTCTGACCCAAATCGTACGGGCGAAGGCGGATGAGTAGATTTCAGTAACACGAGTCCAGCGGGACAGGGCTTTCCTTTCGAGGCAACAACGGTCGATTGGAAGAGGGCACGTGCAGCAGATTTACGGGCTCGATTCATTTAATCAGAGGACAAGGCCGGTTTTCGCAGGAGCGTGATTTCCATCGTTTGAGACAAGAGCTTGGTCTCTGCCATTGTTTTGAGACAGAGTTTTAGCCTTAAAACCACAATTGCTTGTGGCTCTCCGTAGATTTCCGGGTGTACAGTACAGCCTCGCTCTGACACGTTCCTGGTGCTGTTGCTCTGCGTCGATTAGGGGTAGCCGGCGTTTCAGTTGGGGTCCGCAGCACAGACGATACCTGAGTCTCGCGCACTTCTTTTTCAGTGCTACTTACGTCTCCAGGCTAAGGTTCTTCATCCCTTGTGAACTGCAGGAGTTAGGGTGGAACTCGCTACTATAACAGACTGCTGCAGTCGCGAACGTTATGCCTGACCACAAGGTCATGGAGAACCCAGATATCAGCAATAATAGCGAAGGGATGGCACGCTAAATGTAGACCGCGTTATGGCGGGCATCCCCCTTGGGAGAGAAAAGGCACTACAGGCAGGACAATGTCGGGTGGGTTGTACTTTACGTCATACCTTCGAAGTTACAGATAACGGTTCACATGTTCCGATGCTCTGAATGCTGGCTCGGGCACAAAGCCTCGCATGGATCTTGGACGGATGTCCATGGTACACCGCTGAATGACGAGGAACCGCGGTAAAGCAGAGTTCTGACCGCCTCCTACTACTTGTAGCAAACACCCACGAACCCCCCCCCTCCTTGCTCTATTCCTGTAGTGCGAGCTGAGTATATAATAGTGCATCCCTGTCCTGGGGCACCCGAAAAACAAGCGGAGTCCCTGCCCCCCGAACTGCAGGGACTTGCCAAACACGGATAGACTTGGTGTCGTTTCGCGTAACACAAACATGTGTGTGGTTGGTGTGTGGGGCGTGGGGGCCTGAGTCACACCACGGCACAATCATGCGAAGGTGTTTGTCGCGAGTAAACGTCCGACAACAGCACACACCTTAGTCCTCCCTGAACCCCAAACCTTCAGTACAGCAGTCATCAGCAGCAATACCAATGCAAAGCGCGCTCACCGGATCGCGCAGCTGCAAGTCAGGTGTGTAGATCTCGAAGTTCAGCGGCTCGTCGAGCATGGTGGCGTAGTCTTCTCGGAGGGTGTCGATCACTTTACCCAGATTGGTGTTGAACTCAGTTTGTTCTCTCTTCTCTTTCTCGTTCTTCTCGCCCTCGTAGATCTCTCCTGCGGGCATCGGAGACCTCGCCACCGAGGGAAAGGCGCCCTGGGATGCCTGGCTCGCAGCACCGCGCGTTCGTCGCATGCTAAACTTCAACTGATGGTGATTGACCCTCTGGTTGCAGCAGTTCCTGCTGCTGCTGCTGATGCTGCTGCTGCTGCTGATGCCGGCGTTGACGAAAGCCTGCCGCGCGGACGACCCAACATCGGCAGGGTAGCAGACCAATTCCACCAGGCAAAGGAGCAGTGTCCCTTTCCTCTTAGAGCAAGCCATGGGTACGTGCAACACTGCTGATCATGTGTCTTGCTTGACCAGTCCGGACATGTAGCAGAGTAGGTCAATCGTCCATACGTCCATACCCCTCACGCCTTTTGCTCCCCGCGGTGCCCCCTGTAAGATCTGGTACGCTAAAGAGTCATATTCTTTTAGGTCGAGACAGAAGATCGCGCCATCCTCTCACATTCTCTGTCCTCCTGCATCGCACCATCGCACATCGTACCCCCAGCCCAACCAAGTGATACATCACACAAGCGCTCTCGACAGCCTGTTGCTCCCGCATGGTCTATACTAATAATAATGTTGTGAAATGTGGGTTTTGCGACGGCAAGGTTCTTGTACTGCTGTAGTTTCGCCAAATCGTTTTGTTCCCCGGGGAACCCATTTTTGAGTTGTTCGTTCTTCGGTGCCCGTTTCGTCGCGAATTCGCACGTAATTATTGGCAACAACATGGCACCCGCATGATGTTTGTGCGCATCAAATTCCCTCTCGAGGTTGTGTTGCACACATAAATGTATTATATGGTACCATGTCGTAGGTGTGATTCATTGTGGGTTAAAAAAAATAATGCACCCCGGGAGTTGTACATAGCTCGCACAACCCAATGGCAACGTGGGATTTGACGCCGATCGATGTACCTTGTCAATAGACTACCGTGAGAGGCGGAGATAGATATGGCACCCCCGCTAAACCGACTTTCAATGTTCGTTACTCCACAACCTAGGGGTTGCAGAAAGAGCCCGATAGGTGGACGGAAAACCCTCGACGAGATGTTGTTTCCAAAACCACCATTTGTGGTGTTGGCACAAAAGCTTGGTTGGTTGTGGAGAAGGTCGGTCTGTGTAGGGGGTGCCGTCTCTCCGCCTCTTACTAACGGTATTGTTCAACACGATCCCATCATGGGACGTTTTTTACACAGACATAATAATCCATGCAGCATGGGCAAAAGACACCCAGCCATACTCATTCACCGGCCTCGTTGCCCCCACGAGTTTTTCTGGTTCCTCCCTCACAGAGTCCGTCGAACAGGTAATTTAGGCGCACTCACTTCGTGAGCGCCTACAGCTAGGTACTGTTTTAGATCTTCCTTGGCACATGGTGTTCTGACAGCTCGATGACAACGGTGAGGTGATGCCGATGTGCATCTCGTCTACATTGGATGAGCATTGCGATACCTTGAAGAACAAACAGCTTCTCTACGAGCGCCGGGCATGCATGGCGTTGATGCCACAGGAGTTGCTCCCCCCTCTTGACAGAATACGTTTTCTTTTTTGCACCTCGGAAGTCCCGAAAGTTTCATGTACCGACCCCGAACAAATCGACGACTATAAAGTACGCCAACCAAGCCAACAGCACGGCAACGCGCCATGAAAACAATCTTAAAAAATCCAATACACACAGCAGACAAGCAGGTGTGAACATCGAGACCACGAGCAACAAAATTGGTGACATTGGCCTGACGTTGAACATCCCCCGCCGCCGTTCATGGTACATAGTCGCACAGCATGCATGTCGTAACAACGTCGCTTCCGTCTCCAAGATCAGCGCAACTACGCCCGCCTTCTTCTCTTCGTCGTTGTCTGTCCTCTTCAGCTGCCCAAGGGCGCTGCCAGGCGATGTGCGCTCTACATCAGAGAAGGTGGCACGCAAGATAGTTTGACCAATCAGGAAAGTACGTGCCACTATTTAGTCCCTTTCTTTTGTTGAGGTTTCAACCTCAGACAACAGCACCCCGTGTGCCTGACCCCGCCACGAAATCGGCCACCCGACCAAACACTAACAGGTAGCAAGCACGGCCTGGTACAACTCAACTGCCACATTATGCAACCTACAATATTTCTCCTCCTCCTGCCACCAAAACAGAATAGAAACATGCCAATCACACGATTTATCCTCCTCCTACCGAACACAACCGCACGAGCTAAATCACGCATCCACCAAAGCACGCAACCTCTCGGAATGCACCTCTTCTACACCGACACTCCTTCCCTCTCCGCCAGGGGCCGCAGCAACATCACCCTCCGTTGCTGCCGCCGGCGCTGGCGGCAGTCGGCGGATCGCGGGCACTTCGGGGGTCAAGCAGGTGGGGTTGACCCCCGCCTTGTGGCAAGCCAATACGCCGACGGCCTCAAGGTAGGATGAGACCGTCACGCAACGATCCGAGACGCTGCTGCTGCCGAGCAGAGCCCGTGCACCCGCCTTCATCACGGTGGCGTTGTCCTCCACCGCTATCAACAGCGTCGTCGCCTGCCGGTACATATGACACCACAAAAAACAATGAGTGGGGTGGGGGGGTACCCGAGAGAGAAGGCTTGTTGTCTTGGCTATTGAAGGGAAAACGCAAAAGACACGTGGCCAGGCACGGGGATGCACACACTCTTCGCAAGTACACAATTTAAGCAATCATGAATCCATCAAGAAAAACGGATGCACATAGCTACAGTACATGCAAACCACTTGAGATAATAATCGATGACAAACTTGGACGCGCGCAATAATCGTCAGCTAGACGGGAAATAACCCGACATAAGTCTGTCATCACAACCACCACCACCGTGACTCGCTACAACACATCGACAACGGCCACAAACCATACATCGCTTGTCTTGCCGCACCAACCTCGGGAGTGACCTTACCTGTTCTGCGAGGCTGAGAACCCCGGCTCCCCCGAAGGCAGAGGCCGGAGCGACGACGGCATCGACGGCATCGGCCCACAGCGCCTCCCCCGCCCTCGGGTGCTCTCTGCTCGTAATTATGGATGGCGCCCTGCCGTGGTCATGGGGGAAACCATTCCCCGCGTGTGGAGCACGTGTTAACAACAAGTAGGGGATGTGTGTGTCAAGTGTCGAAGCTCATCGTTTGAAGCAGCATGTAGCCAACGAGTCGCGGGCAGGGCGATGCTCAAAGTGTGCCTCACCGGGTACCGCATCGTTCTTCATCACTTTCTTAAGCCAGCGCTCAGGGCGTTTCTGCCGGGGTGACAGCTCCAATCCGTGGTCACACAGAATAAGATCCAATCCGTGGTCACACAGAGTAAGGGTTTCTCTCCCTGAGGGCCGCCTAACCATCCCTCCTACGGCTCTTGCGTTCGATTCTTAACGCGAGAAAGAGTGCAGCACTCTCTCAGCGTACACACGAACTGTTCCGACACGACAGACAACCAACAGATCGAGACAGCAAAAAAACAATCACCAGCGTGCTCCGGAAGTTCAGACAAAAGACCACGAAACTCCCGGACATTACCCCTCCGCCACCCCACGGACAGAAAGCCGTTCTCTCACACCTATGAAGGTTGGAGAGCACGCACGGCAAGAAGGTGTAACCCAGCTCCTCAGCGCAGGCTCTAGGGCTCACGGATTCGTCAACGTCGATCGGGGGCAGGGCGGGCGCGTGCGCGCAGGGAACCTTAAGCTTCTGCGAGGCACGAAATTAAGGGGGGGGGGGAGAACAAAGGGTCTTGAGAGCGCTTGACGGGGAGGGAGAGGGGGGGAGAACAAAGGGTCTTGACAGCGCTTGACAGCCCAGCAAGGATTTATCACAGGAGAACAACCGCTTTCGGCGAATAAGTTTGTTTGCCTACTGCTTCCATAAAACGAATCTAGGCGTCAAAGGCGGCACCCAATTCCAGCTGTGGGACAGCAACGCTAATCATCCCTACTGGGACGCCTGCTCTCATCAACGAAGACGTGGCCAAAACACCACTGCAGGGCGTGTTTTCTGGTGCAAGCGTTCCTATCCGCTCGTTTCTGACTTCCTTGAGGAGGCCCATGCAGCACCTCTTGGACCACAGACTACCACGCTCGTGTCGAGCAAATGCCACAAGCAAAACAACAACAGCAACAACAAACCAACAGCCGTTCCTCTCATCGACTAGCTCGGCAAGGTACAGCGCTGCAAGCGACTATTTACGTTTACATGTCATCACCAGTGTAGACTAGAGGTATGTATGCATGCCATGACGGTCATGACGCCGTCACCCCGAGGGCGAACAGAATAGCATCGACGACGACTGGGTCCTTTGCAGCCAACTAGTCGCCAAACGCAACGCGAGGCGGCACAAAACTCCAGGAACATGTTCGCAATCGCTCCACCTGACTCATGACGTGCGAGATTATGGCCTCCGCGCCGCCGACCGCATCGACGCCCTGCCCCTCCCTAAGGAGAGCAACACGGTTTTATGACGACACGAGTTTATTGCAGCTAAGCTCACATATGACGGGTTAACGATAGGACACGACAATGACACGCGGAGAGCAAGCGATACATACCAGAACGGCCGAAAGTAGTGTGCGTACGGATATCATATTTCACTACACTCTTGTGTCTCCCATTCTACCAGATACCTAGGCGGGGTCCGCGACCCAAACTTACCCCGGTTCGATCGGTTGATTGACGTGCACAATCGACCCGGTTCGATTGGGTGATTAAACTTTTTCTTCTTCACACGGGGTTCTACCTAGACAACCCGTGATACGATGAGCCGCACGACATGGATTCAAAGGCCGACACTACTTGCAGTATTCCATAAAACATATAAAAATATGGGTCAAAGGAAGGCACGACATGGGTTCAAGGGCCGAGAGTACGCGCAGTATTCCATGAAACATATAACAATATGGGTCAAAGGAAGAGGCAGATTTGCAACACAACGGCCGAATCTTGAGCTCGAGGACGTCGCAGCAGGAAGGGCGTATCCATGAAGGCAGAGAGAGGTAAGTGGACATGGCAGACGCGTAAAAAACAGCGCTTACCGCTACAAGAGCGCCTGAAAACAAGGTGGAGCACGCTGCAAAGGTCCCTTGACGCGGAGAAACAAAGGTGTAATCGCTCCTACAGGCACCTGCGTCGCTGGCGAACGGCAACATGGGACAGAGAAGGCCGACAACGTCGCGCCTCTTATAATTCTCCCCGGTCACGCCCCCGCCGTTCGTACATACGGTTGGTTACCTATAGGCTTGCAACGCTTCCTCGTCTTCGTCATCTGGAAACCTAGCCACCACAGCGATCGCCGTACACCTGTCGAGATACAAAGAATCAAACAAACAGGGGGGCACAAAAAACTCGAGTGGGGCTTCTGTTGCCCCCCTCGGGTGGTGCGCAGAAGTGGCGCCACCAAACGCCACGCAGCGTCACCTACCGCCGCACTACTTGCAACAGCAGCCATGCGGCCCCTGTTTTATAGACCAGTTTTGTTAAGGCCACAAACACGTCTGCAAAGAACATGCTTCCTTTTGTGGTTGCGCCCAGTTATGTCAAGACCACAAACACGTCTGCAAAGAACATGCTTCCTTTTGTGGTTGTGCCCAGTTATGTCAAGACCACAAACACGTCTGCAAAGAACATGCTTCCTTTTGTGGTTGTGCCCAGTTATGTCAAGACCACGAACACGTCTGCAAAGAACATGCTTCCTTTTGTGGTTGCGCCCCGTTATGTCAAGACCACAAACACGTCTGCAAAGAACATGCTTCCTTTTGTGGTTGTGCCCAGTTATGTCAAGACCACAAACACGTCGCAAAGAACATGCTTCCTTTTGTGGTTGTGCCCAGTTATGTCAAGACCACAAACACGTCAGCAAATATATACAAGTATCTTTTGTGGTTGCACCCACGAACAACTGACGCGCATGTCTACAAAGCAGCCGCCAAGAGATCGATCGAAGAACTCGAAGGGCAACTCTTTTCCCGCCGGGAGCGATCTCCCTGCCACCGCCACCAACTGGCAAAAAAAGGGCAGCACGACTAAACGCAGCGGGCATTGCTTGTCTCACCCCGCTTCCTCCACGAGCCTTCTACCCGCGTCCACGAGAGAGTCCAGCCCCTTGACGGTGCCCCAGCTCGCACCCCCCGTGGTCATCTCGAGGGTAACCCCGGCGGGCTTCTCCGTCACGCAGTACTCGGCCACGTTGATGCCGAGCGTCGCCCGTGCCGCATTAGCTGCCTGTTTTCATTATAGTTTTATTAATTGGTAGGGTTCAGCGTGCGGGGGGAGGGGGGGAAGGGAGCATTTCCGTTTGTCGTGGAGAGAGTATCGTCGTGGAGAGAATGCTTTTGGGGGTACCCGCGTCTACGCACATCCACCATTTAACGTTTATCTCCCAGCTTCGACTAGAATTTTCGGGCCCCATGGACGCATGAAAAACGTGACGGTGGGCGTTCGACGAGTGGCCTAATGCGTGGGAAGAGAGAAAGGTGGTCGAAAGGCCGGTGCGGTTTCAATAAACGCCATTCGCGCATTGTCTTCTTGCTGCAGTCCACGACTGAGGGCCAAGAGCAAAAATTGCTAGTGTGCTACCGCTGCACATGCAGCAAAAACGAAAAAAAGTTCGCGCTACTGCTGTGGTGGTTGGAGTCGTACCTGCACGTGTCTGAGCTGTAGGTCGTCCTCGATGGCGCAATCCAAGACCAAGCCGATACGGTGCCCGCCCTTGGTGACGGGTAGCAAGCCCCACCTTCGTTGTAGGCGGTGTCCAAGAGGGGATGCGTGTGTATGAATGTGCGAGCGCTAAACGAATTTCGTCGTGTAGAAGGGTCCTCATCATAGTGGAAGCGAGGGAACGATGGCCAAAAAAAAGTGGCACTCTTGACACCGTAGTATGCTCTGAAAAAAGGAGGCTAGGGAGATGCAGGCCGTAAGAAAAACTCGGTGATACTGGCTGGTAACACACACAACTTTCAGGGCAGGGTTGACGGCAGCTCGAGGCTCACCACGAATATGCTACCTTTCTCGCGTCGTCAACGCCGAGCTGAGCGCTCGCTTGGCTTCTACATTCTGCCGTATAGTTGGCCCTGTGCCTTGTAGACAGGGTCCTAGCGGCATGTTCGATACCATGCGAGCTACAGCCTCAATGCTCCCAGCAAAGGTCAGAACTACACGTCAATGGCACCCGCGGCACATCTAAGCCATATTACCCATCATCCATAGGTCGCCGCAAGAAGACACAACGTACCTTCCCGCGCAGAACTCATCAAGTGCATATCCCTCGACGTACTGTATCCCCGCCTGGGGCCAGCTGAGCATCGCGCCGTTCATGACGTTCGGGTGTGTCACCAAAGTGTCCACCACGGACGACACCGCCCTTTTAAGCAGCAGCAGCAGCAGCAGCAGCAGCATTAGAGCGCAAGTGCAGGAGCAACAAGCAGTAGCAGGGCGCCAAGGACACGTCGAACACGTGTTTGGTTTGGAAAAAAATGTCAACCAGTAACAACCGTGTGTTGGGTCTACAACTCGGCGTGCTCATCCATCCATGTATCGTGCGGAAACTCAATCACCTGTAAATCTAGTATTTAGCACGATGAAGCGGGGGGGGGGTATCCACCGTTTATGAACCCTAAACAACCGAGAGCGTTAGAGCAAGGAGGGAGCTGGCCGCTCGCGCGACCGGCGCGAGACGCCTTTGTCGTTTCGTCTTTTCCCTACAATCTTGTGTTGTGTCTCACCTGGCCACCGGCAAAGCATCGCCGGCATACCCCCCGATCGCTGCTCCGATACCGGTCGGCACGACCAGCACCGCCGTGTAGCTGCCGTCGCCGGACACTGTCTGAACCGGCACGTTGTCAAACATGCCGCTCCTCTGCTTTCCCCCCAGCCCTTTCCATGCGTGGCCGTTGTTGTTGCCTTCGCCATCCCCTCTCCCTGCTTCTGCGCCAAACTGCGCTACCGACTGGTCCGTTGAAGCGGCTGCTGCCGGATTGTGGTCATGGCCATTTTGGAGATGAAGTTCGTGGCTAGTTTCCCTGACGACGCGGTGCCAGGTGAAGCCCCGAGAAGCAGGATTTGCCACAAACCCCTGGTTTGATATAGTTTTGGTCGTGTTTGCGGGGGGGGGCGGGTGGGGGGGCAAACAAGACTACCATCGGGTCATTTACATGGGAGGGAGTGAAGCAATTCCTAACTGCATGTGTCAGAAAATTCACCTGTTTAACGCCAAAAGAGGAAATCGTGTCGTCCTCGACATACGTTGGGGAGGTGTGACTCTTTAAGATCATCTCCACATATAGACCTATAGACGGATTTCCTACGGGCTGAGGGCTCACGAGATCGCAGGAAAGGCAATCCTGATGATCTCGTGAGCCTAGAGCCCTTTTTTCGAGGTTTCTCCGCCCGTTGACCTCGCCTCAAAGCGAGACTTGCACCTACCGATAGCCCTGTGTTGCGAGGGCCCTCCCGGCGTGCCGCGCGCTCTCGGGACGGACTGCGTGCAGCGCTAGCGAGGGCAGAAAGTCGCGTCTCCGACATCTACCATGGATCCACCAATCACACCCCGATTTCTTGACAGTGCAGGCCACTCATACATTCGGAAAGCGGATGACGTGGATTGTGCGTGTGCGCTGGCTACACACCACACACCCTGCCACACACGACAACCAAGCCACCAAGTCTCCGCATGAGACGAGACAAAGTACTCTACTGCTGTAGTGCGTCTCCCTTTTGATCCAGGCGAAAGGCGGGGGGGTTAGCGGTCAGTGTCGTGCGCCCAGCTGTCTGCAAAACTACACCCGCCCGAGAAAAAAAAAATGAAATACGTTGTTTGTTCCTCCGTTTCATGGAAATACTTGTTTTTTTTCCCGGAAATATCTTCTGGATACCTACCGCACTTATTGTAGAGCGGCTACCGGGACATGCTCCGCATCCCATCAACACACACCAACACACGAACTTCTACAGTCATCTGACTCCCAAAACCCTCTAGCAGAACATATAGAAATAAAACTGCTGCTGTGGGTTTCCATATTTTCATAAATCGGCAGAAAAAGTTGTCTGCTTTTCTCTGCTTTTGCTTACATACAACGTGCTGCAAAAACTACAAAAACTACCGTATGCGTACGTAATGATTTGCGCTGCTTTTCCTCGCCTCCCGTACTCAACCCCGATTCTCATCACCGACGGCTGTACATCAGATCACATACGAAGACCGCACACCCGAGAAGTAGCGAACTTTATTCAGCTACAACGTCTCGCTGAGGGGGTGGGTAGCACATGGGAGAGACGGGGGGAAGAGAGAGAAAAGCTGGTTGCTTGATGTTTTTCTTAGTTTAATTATTCGACACACTCCCCCCCCCGTAACCCCTCTCGTGTCTTATGAATAGTAGAGCATATTAGGGGTCGCTCCTCTGGTTTCTTATTGAGACGTTTCTTCTGTGGTGTGGCCCAGGTTGAGCTATTATGTTACGTAACCCTATTTTCCTAACTTTTTTCGTGGAAAGTGAGCCTTTGTTTCTGAAAAACAAACTTCTTACTCCGAGCAACTAAATACTCTGTCCTCCGGCCGTCGCGTAACATATGAATATAGTCATTGTGCGTCTCTGCTCTTCGAACAAACAAACAATTTTTTCCCTCTTCGCAGCATTTTTTCTTCATATCTCTCATTTCAAAACTCCACCCGCACACACTTGCCATCGCCATTGAACCTACGAGCGTAGCGGCGACCGCGAAGCGGTACACCGCGAAGCGCCCTTGTACTTGATACCGTTTTCGTTTTCACCTGTCCACGACCAAATTTGGAAGCATGTTTGACCGAAATAGACTTGAGCAGTAGCCCGCTTCCTCGCGGTCTCGCAACAACGTAAACCATGAGAGTCAAGGGCACAACTATAAGTCGTCAATCCTTCCTAGGCTCCATGCAGAACATGCGTACAACGGACATTGCCCACCCAGGGGATGTGCAGCAAGGCGGGGGGTACAACTTTGTTCCCTGCCTGCAATAGCTCGCGCCGCCTGTCATTTACAGACGGGTATAGTTGCTAACTGCTTGCATAGCTCGGACTATATCCGTACAGCAGTTTCGATTGCTACTGCCTTGCGTTAGAAGAGAGTCCTCGCCCCGGGTGTTCTTTGAACTCTCATCAACAGAGTAGTCTCTTTAGTCTAGCCTACGTAACGGCTGTGAACGGTACATCGTACTCGTGTTTATTGTGCCTCACAAGGTTGCGAGTGCCGGCCTTGGCAGTACGTGCGTCCAAACAACTAAACAACGAGAGAGATACCTAACAATACAGGACAAAAGACTATCCGTCAACATTTCAGTAGTAGATATGATAATGCATCATGTTTGTATGTTTGTGGACAAAGCCTGGTCTATACACATGAGGGCCGGATCTGCTGTCCAAACCCTACAGGATACACACACGGGAATGAGCGGATGCCGATATTTCTCTGGGACAAGCAGACGTCTCACCCTGATTTCCGGAAGCACCAAAAAAAGGAGCGCGATGTTCACCCGGGATCTCATCGAGAGATCGGTCTTTGGCGTACACACCATGGCGTGTATATCGTTGTGGTTGTCCTGTGTCTCCAGCCTGGGTCAGCCAGCACGTGTCGGTCACATGATGATGCCGCACGTCCGCAGTCCGCAGTCTGCGTCGCCCCCCCGACAGTCCCGCGTTGGACGTTCCCAAGCACACAGCGCGAAGGTTACGGAACGGTCCTTGTGGTGCACTACACTGCTTGGGGCGGATGCAGTTTGGCACTCGCTTCTTGCGTGCATCCACCGCATCCTGGTTCTGCGTGGCGTACCTTCACGTTACTTCTGGCTTTGGCCCGCTGGGTTTGGTGCAGCGACGCACAACGAGCAGTAATAGGCCTCGAGTCGTGATGTCAACACCATCATCATCAGCAGCTGCTGCAGTGGCGATCCTCCCGGCAAAGACTCCGCTGCCGCTGCTGGACGACGGCCTGACGGTAGTGTCTTTCAACGTGTTGCTCCCGAATGGCAACGATGGCTGGTGGATGTATAAGGTGTGTGTTGTGACAGGAAAGCGAGAGAAGAGAGAGCAGGGAAAGGACGGGAAAAAGGCAGAGATATACCACGGTTTTTGTATAATATTTAGGGACTGCTGCCGCTGGTGCTGCACGTAAATAGTGATGTTACATGTACATAAGCTCATGTTTGATTGCTTGTGACCACGGCGATTCCTTCACTAACAGAGCTACCAGCCGCATGTTCCCGAGGAGCACAGGGTGTGGCCTTTCCGGAAGGCGCTCATGCGGGAGTACCTCCTGAGCAAGGATGCCGACATCGTGTGCGTTCAGGAAGCATCGGCCGAGACCTTCGAGACCGATTTCGACTTCATGAAAGACGCCGGGTGTGTGTGAGAGAGAGAGAGAGAGAGAGAGAGAGAGAGAGAAGACATAGACAGAGGCGCACTTTGTATGACCGTCGTATTCTGTTTATGGATGCCCATTGTGTGCAAAGTGCGACATACTATAGTATACTATAGTATATATACTTGTAGTCATGTTCTCAACTTTTCACCTTTCTCCCCTTTTCGTGCGACGAAATGACTGCGGGACAAGATATATGTGAGATACCATGTTCACATGTACTCCAGGTAGTACAAGGCACGAACGGGGCAATCCGTATCGATACATGGCTGTACAGCAGTATGAAGCTGCGGAGATGCTCGGTGCTTGCGTGCGTGTTTATCTCTGAGTTGTCTGCCAAAAGCGACGAAAATGGACCCCGACAACCTGTTTCGCCGCTTGCTCACCCCACTTTCATGGATGAACTTTTGTACCTCTCTCGACTTATGCCGCCGTGCCCTCACCTCGTTTGCATCTCTCCGTTCCTCTCGAACGTTCGTGCACTTTCCTGTTTTCCTCTCTCCTCCGTCTGTCTGTCTATACCTATCTCCCGATATGTCTCTTTCGTTCTGTCCCCCCTTCTCTGGATTCCCGACCAACACGGAATCGAACGCTATTAAGCTACGACCACGTGCTACACACCAAGTTTCGCTTTCGTTCCGCCACATTCTTCAAGACGTCGCGGCTGGAGCTAGCGTCCGAGAAGCACAAGGACAGGGTGCTCGTCACGGGCCTCCGCCTCCGCACCCTACCTCCGGCCACGAGCGTGCCGTCGTCGCAAGCAACACCCTCGCAATCGCCACCTCCACCTCTTGGCACCGAGGAGCAAGAACCATCAGAAGACGTCGACCCGGGGAGATCTCCCGCCGCCGAACACCCGTCCACGGCGGCCGCAGAAACGTCTGGGATAACGCACCTCGGGGGGGCCGAGGGCAGCAGCGGGAAAGCTGGAGACGGGGGAGGAGCTTCGAGCAGTAGCGGCAAGGGGACGCTGGTGATGGTGGTCAACTGCCACCTGACCGGAGGCCCTGCGCCCGAGAGACGGATGCGGCAGGTCTTGGACGGCCTCGATGCCGCGAGAAAGGACGCGGCGAAGCTGCTTTCCGAGGAAGCGGCGGCAGCCGCGGCAGCGGCGGGGAAGAAGAAAGGTGGGGGAGGCGGCGGGAAGAAGAAGGGGGGAGGGGGCGCTTCTGCTGCTGCTGCCCCGGGAACATCGGTCCCCGTGGTTGTGTGCGGCGATCTGAACAGCAACAACGGCCACACGGCGGTGTGCGAGCTTTTGTCGACTGGTGTTGTGGGGGCGTCGTTTCGGGAAGGGGGTTACCCCGAGGTAGGTTTTTCGAGAGCAGAATGGCTTTATTAGTGCCCGCAGCAGTGTTCGAAAGGGCACTGCAGTAGATATTTACTTGCAACAAGATCGTTGCTGCTTGTGCATCCCAGGAAGTTTTACGGTGGGGGGGTCGAGTCGAGCTTTCGCCTCGCGTGGACGTAAGGCGTCCGGTTTCGTCGTGGCTTTGACTGCCGTCGAGTTGACCGAAACACTCTTGCCGCACCCATGCCCTATCGATTTTTTAAGAACAACATCTTATTTATGTGCCCTCACGTCTCCGCATATTTCGAACCGCAGACAGGCGAAAACATGCCCTCCGTCCCGTTCCCTCCTGCCCTATGTAACAAGCAGACGGCCATCACCTCCAAGGACAAGCGGCAGGGGTTCGGGCCGTTCGGTGACGTCTACGAGGAGGCCTACGGCAGTGGAGACCCCGCGGGCCCAGGGGTTGGGAGCGGAATAGCGGGAGAACCGACGTCTACCGGTCCGCCTCCGACGTTCCTGGTGCCCCTGCTGCACCCCCACTTTCTCAGGGAGGACGGAGAGGGCGTTTCGCCAAGGTGAAAAAGCAGCTGCTGGCCTTGGATACCGTGTGGGTTTGCCGTGGAATTTGTTGGAGGTATGCATAGGAATAGGCTATGAGGTAGTTGGAGGTATGCATAGGAATGGGCTATGGGTGGCAGAGGCCCCTTGTGCAGGCATGTATTTGCCAGCTGTCAATGACGATTGGCGCAGCGATACTACAAGATTTTTGTCCGTGCGCCCTCTTTGCTCCCCCCACGCTAGACGAAGGTTCTCGTTGTCTTCCGTTTGCGTTGCGTTCGATCTTGCTCGGGGAGGGACCAGAAGAGCAAGAGGAAGATATAAAGCATTTACTTGTGCACCCACTGTGCCACGGTAAAGCAACCCGGACTACTTCGTACTCCTCCCCTACCCCGCACGCCTCCACGATCGACTAGGCTGCAGCTGGCCTTGTCCGAGGCTTTCCACTCCTTGGTCGGGACGTACGGCAACACTGCCCGCGCCGAGGACAATGACCCGCCGCCGCCGCCGCCGCCGCCGCCGCCAGCGGCAGCAGCAGGGGACCCCGCGACGCCAGGCGCAGAACCGGAGGCGTTCCTTCCCCGGGAAGGGGTGGAGGCCTGGCTGATGAAAATCAACAGGTCGCTCGGGCGGGGCAGCGAGTTTAGAGCCGCGGAGGCAATCATGGGACCGGGGCCAGGGGGTGGGCTTACCCTGGAAGGTACGCGTTTCGCGGGGGGTGTCTTCAGCCCTTTCTCTGCACCACGTAGGATGCAACTACTGTCTAATTGCTTGTGCTGTTATTTTGCTTAACTCGAAGGAATACCGACATCTGTTTTCGTTGGGTGGAACGACTACGACCCTGCTTCATTTTATTTATATTTTCTCGGCTGTCATCCTCTATATCGGCATTCGATGTCTGATTCTTGACTTTCTTTTCACAAGGCGGGACTCGTTCCACAAATCAAGTTGCTTGCTCGTGACCTTCAGGATCATGTCACGACACACCTGGCCCTATTCTGTTGAGCGTCCATTTCGCGTGCGTCTTTTCCTCTGCTTTCTCCCCCGTTCAGATTTTTTCTCCATTTACGCCTCGGAGCTTCGCGGGGGCAAGTTTTGGGGCGTTGCCCACGATCTGCACGCCCTGGGAGTCGAGTTACCTGGGGGGATACCATGGGTGGGCCCATACACGGCACGATTCGACCGCGTCTTCTACTCCAAGGTGGGCCGCCGCGGGGCTCGTGCTACATATAACAATGCTCTACTATTTTTGTCGTGTCTGCGTTGTTGTCGGCAAGGCTGATGCATCTCTGGTGTTGTCGTGGTTGTCTTTTTACGCCGGACGAAATGTTGAGCAGGCGTCGCTTTAGCTACAGCAGTATTCGTTGTTTCGCGAGTTAGCCGTGGTCTGATCTCCTCCTTATCGCGCTCTGGGTTGAACATGTCAGTACACGAAGAATAATACTTCGCGTGTACGTGTTTATGTGAATGCGGCGGAGTAGGGGACGTGAGCAGATGGAGGTCCGATCGGGTTTGAATGTGAACAAGAAAACAAGAACCAGCTTGGAGCGATGAAGTGGTTAGCTTAGTCATCGTCTTTAGACCTTGAAAATAGGTGATTTCGTGAGGTCGAAACGTGAGGAGCGCGTACTGCTTGCTTCCATGCGCCGGATGCTTTAGCCTAGCACGCCTGAGAGACTTTTTCCTCTGGTAAAAACGTGAGTCTTTCCCCCGTCGTTTGTGCTTTTTTTTTGTCCCTTGCCTGCCGCGTTCGCGCTTCTGTATCGCTGCAGGCGACACTCGAGGCTGTCGGTGCCATGGAACCGCTCTGCGAAGAAGAGAGAGAACTAGTCGCGGGGGGCGATTGCTTGCCAAACTCTTGGCATCCCTCGGACCATTTAGCGGTCGCGGGGGCCTTCCGTTTCCGATAGCAAGTCTCGTGGTACGGTATCGCGGTAACGGTATGGGTGGCAGTGTAGACCAGACCCCCACCACCCCCTGTTGAAGAACACGCTTGGTCTCGAGAAAACTTCGTTTTGCCGGGGGTGTTGGTGTCGTGTACGTTGGTGGTGACGTGCTGTCAACACGTTTTCGTGGGCAATATCATGACGGACCTTGTGCGTATCATGGGGCTTTCTTGGGTCAAGGATTTTGGTATCTACAATAGTAAGCTCCAAGTGCGGCTGGTTGTGAACGGCACACACACGTGGAGCAATAAGCTTTCATCGTCGCGGGGCATGTTAGACGAGATTCGAGTACAGCGTTTCGATTATCAGCGGATGAATGCCACGCTCCATCTACTATTTTAGTCGCGCGAATGGGACTGCATACATGTGCTCGATCATGCATGCCTGCACAACGTTGCGTGCACGGGAACTTCGGTTTGGGGTTCGAGTTGTCGGCGCACAGCAACTAGGTAGCGGTGATAGATAGGTGGTTGCGATATAGTGCAGCAGCCAGCGTGCCCTTCAGAATCACGTCAGGGTCTGCACGGCTCCCTTCATGCATGCCCGCAATTAGCTGTTTGGCATCTCTCCGGCACTGGCAGTTGTCAAGCTTCGGACAGACAGAGACAAGAGGAGATCAAGCTGTAGCCTAGCCAATCCAGACCTCCCCATTTTTTGGCCGAGCTGCTCCTGCAAGGAGATTCTCGACGGTCTTGTCTCGCTCAAATGACCCGTCAAGTGTGGATGAAGCCCTCAGCAAGCAAATCCACCGTGCGTCCCTGGGTACATGAAGTCCTTTGGAGCAAATCGGCTGCATCATGTTCAAGGGAAGAGCCGATAGAAGACTCCCGGCACAAAAACCGTTTATTTTTTTTCCTCTCGAAAGGCAGACCACACCCTTCTCGCGATCAAATGTCGACGGTGTGCTTATACCATTTGCAAGCTTATTCAATTCCTGACTGTGACATGCTCAAGAAAACGGAGCTGCTTTTTCTTGTGTTGTGTTTCATGATGCTTGCGCTGTGATTACTGCTGGATTCCCACCCAAAGGCGCGTCATTAACTGCCGAATGTGTGCACCCTGCTAGGTTTCTAAGTTCCTGTGAAGTAACCAACCAATCAGCCGCTGCGCTTGGCCAGCTTCTCTTTATACTCGGAAACACCAGAACAAACAAAAAACAAAAACAACGCGTCTAGTAGTCGCTGCCCGCCACGGACACCCGAACACAGGAAGAAACATCGATAAAGACCATCACAACTTCGAACTGGTGAAGGTGGGATGGTAGGGGGGGCGGGTGATGTTCTTTTCTCTCCAACCGTTTCAAGAACTCTATTTCGCACATCAACGCACGTTCTCGTGCACGCACAAAGCGTCGCGCCATCAACAGAGAAAGCGGTCGCTTGTCCCATGCCTCTACTGCAACGCGCGCTCTCCTTTAAATCAATTCGGTCTAAGGTGTTCCCTAACCTCCCCCTCTCCCCACGTGGCAGTCGCCTACCTAATCGCGAACCTGAACTATAATTTCCGCAAAACAGAGGGGACACCCTTTGTCCCTCTTTCTACGAAACGGCTGCTCACTCGGCTAGCGTCAGCCATGCTCCCATCAACTGCCGGTCTTACCCTCGACAACGCCGAAGCTACAAGACGAGATGACGCGGGCGCGAAGTTAACGCTGGCGCTTGATCGCTCGCTCGATGTCGGTGTACTCCTACAAAAAAAAGTACACACAAGCCAAACGACGCAGGCACAAAAGAAAAAAGCGCGGGCGGCAACAGAAAACGGCAGCAGTTTCACGCACGGACGTAGCGAGGGCATTGCTAGCGGTCAGATATGTTTATCGCGTATTTTTTTATCGCGAGCGTGATCAGCTCGTGTCGACGGCGTTGGGAGAGGACCCCGTAAAACCGGAACTCCGGGCCATGCTGCGAGTCGATAGAAACGGCGACGAACGCTGAAGGGGGTGCTCCTACTACTGTGGGCGATTTCTTGGGGGCAAGGTATGCAAAAGCGGGCAAGAGCGAGGTGCAAACAGAATCGGGCGGGCCCTCGCGAAAGTCTCGCCTTTGCACCCCTCGTACCAAAATTACACCCACCCGCTGCCCCAAACACACAATAAAGAAGCGGGCTGGCTGGCAAGCGAATCCATTCTCAACTAGTGCTTCGCCACCACAACGCGCGCTCTACGAAACACCGGATCTAGATCAAATGCACATTCCCGTAAATTGTCAAGCGCTGCTTGTTGTCTACGACAGGGCGCTCCGTGAAAACGCCTGGCGCATGCATACTCAACACGCCTTTGTGCCCCCGAAACGCCCCTGCAACACACGCTTGCTACTGCTGTGGCATATTGTTCAAGAAAACACACACACACATTTCTTCGGTCATTGCTATGGTATGTGTTTTTGATCCGAAGAGTGGCATAGACTCCCCCATGACGCCCTCTCTCACGGGGTCCCAGATCGTGGCCTTTAGAGGCATTTTGTGCTTTGAACCGCGCTGAGACTGACGAATTTTCATTGGCCAGTTAGCGCGGTCGATGATAATAATAAAAAAAAAAAACACACACACACGTCACGGGGTCCCAGATCGTGGCCTTTAGAAGCATTTTGTGTTTGTTTCAACCGCGCGGAGGACTGACGAATTTTCATTGGTCAGCCGGTCGATGATAACAAGAACACACACACATATTTTCATTGGTCAGCCGGTTAGCGCGGTCGACACTAATGACAAAACACAAACACACACACACACACACACACACAACCATGCTGCCCCCTCACGGGGTCCCAGTTCATGGCAGATAGAAACGTTTTGTGCTTTCAACCGCACTAAGACTGACGTCTTTTCATTGGTCAGCCGGGTAGCGCGGTCGATGCTAATAAAACACACACACACACACCTGCAAGAGGCGCTTCCGGCGCTTCTCGGGTACAGGGAACTTGGGGCCGTACGAGGCGTAGTGTCCCGCCAGCACCGAGATGGACGTGTAGAGGTTGGAGTATGACAGCTTGCCGTTGATGTTGCTCGAGCGGCGGTAGTTAGACACGAACTCGACCATCTGCAAGCGTCGCGCGTGCGTGCAAGGAGGAAGCAACAGAGGGTGGGTAGCCGCGATTGTGAGGAAATGGTGTGTGGGTGGGCGTGTTAATCATTGTACGCGTGCCTGGGGTAAAAAAATATCGTCTTCTTGTAGGAGAACATGTGTTGCTTGAAGTAATTTTCGTGTTCCGTGTGCATGTGTCCGACAGAAGGCAAAGAAAATAAGGCATTTGTGTCGTCTGCGTCTTTGCGAAATACAATTCGCAGCTGTTGATCTCGGAATAGGCAAAAGGAGAAATGAATGGTGGGGGGTCTGACAGGAAAGCCGAGGATGAAGAGGTGAAGCAGTGGCCATCGAGAGCCGGCACAATCCGCCACATCATGCGAGCAGCGCTGACGCAAAAGACTCACAGAGCGACAGAGAGAGGATGAAAGGCCTCAGCGATAGCGTTTTGTTCGTCCGAATGGGCTCCAACACTGCTTCCACCGATACACGTGAGCAGGTCAATCCTGTTCCCAAACAGTCTCAGAGGGCATTACTACGCTTCCTCGCGAAACCCACGAGTACCCCCAAGACACCGTACATCAACATCAAAACCAACGGGGGTGCTCGAGAGTCATCGTCCCCTTGCCCGCGCCAAATCCTTTGTCAAAACGACACATGGGGCACCCCGGTGTGTACGTGCTGGGGGGTGGGGTTCTCCATACCTTGGCGCTACATAGGTTATGCACCGCAGCTAGCTGAACCTACGGACCGTACCTCCTTCTTGCAGTTGTTGGCAATATCCGCCATGTAGGGGTCTCCCTTCTCCATGTTGGTGCAGTACCTCATGTGCCTAACCATCTTGGAGGCATCCTGTGGTGCAAAACCCAGGGGGCGTGCAGCAACAGCAAAACCCGTTAGCTGTGGGTTAGCGTTGGATTTCAATCACGTCTGGGTGCGATAACCGTTCGTGCCCTTGTCGGGCTTCCGCTTAGAGAGAAGCCGAAGACAGATCAAATCAGACGAAGGGGAAAAGACGGAGGCCAGCGGGGGGGGGGGGGCGACGACTAACACCAGGCGACCCGTTCTCATCGATGAGAAACCCTCGACACCCTACTAATAGACAAAAACTCGTCATGGGCTGTTACGAAGGAATGTGAGAAGCGACAAGCACCGAGGACAACCGTAGGACATGTAAGGTGCCTCAATCCCGCCCTGTGAGTGTTTGTTCCTTACTCGCGAATCCGGGGTACACCCAGCGACTATCATCCCACCGCATTTAGAGACACGGTTGACACCTCTCGCAGCTGCCAAACAGAGCTTAAGTTGTAGTGTCGGCCCGGTCGTGACAACAGTCGTTCTCGGCGAGTAGAGGCCATCTGCACACACCTTTGTTGCCGCATCTGTTGGATGGCTGTGCTTGCGGGATTTTCGTGTGGTCTACAAAACTTGTAATGCTGACGTTCCACGAATAACGCACTACCGCTGCGTTTACAGCTCTACGCATTAAAGGGTTTGCTGCATGCTGACGGTAATGTGATGGACCACCCAAAAATCATGAGGCAGGCATCAACCTTGGCTGGCTGGTTGATCATTTCCGCACAAGTCGCAGCGGCCGTGTGTCATGCCAACAGCAGCACATCTTAGACAAGGCCCATCATTTTCCTTGCATCAATTGGAAAGCTGACTTGCGCGGTTATCTGTGCTACCCATGTCCTCCCAGCAGTAAACGTACTCCCAACACTTGACAAGACTCACCCAAGACAAAATGCCAACAGCAACACACAAGGATAGCACATGTAGCAGACCGGCGTCCTCAACTCAAAACTTAATCACGATGAACACCGTGGTACGATTATGCGTTTGGTCCGGTCTGTTTATGCTACGGTTAGAGGCAGAGTGTTGCCTGTCGCTATGTGGAACACCGTAAGAGCGCGAGAGAGAGATCACCCTATCACCCGCCCCAGGCCGATTTTCAAAGCTCTTGCGCCACCACCAGGCTTGCGCCAACGCCACAAACTGCTGTGGATTTGAAAACATCTCGTCGACGGCTTTCAGTAGACGTTCTTTCCGCACCCACGTGTCTGTGGAGCAATCGGGCATTGTCCACGGGGGGGGGGGGTACCATCTCTCGCATCCTTACCGTATCATTTTCAGCAAATTCCGAGCACCACGACTCTATACATTTCGTTTTCCGTTCTAGAAAAAGGTGCCCCTCTTGTGGTAGTTAGTTGGCTTAAGACCACGGAAGGCGTCCGTGTCAGTTGGACCAGCACAGATATTAGAAGAAGGTGCTGAGCGGAGACCGGAATGGTTGTTGGTGTGACGACAACAACACACACGCGTATTTTCCCCAAAAAGAAGACTCACCGGGTAATACTGCTTGGTCAATCCCCAGTCGCTCGGTGGCCCGTCCTCAGAGACAGCGGCGGGGGCGGGAGCCGCCGCCTCCTCCGCCGCGAAAACCGCCGCCGGCACCGCCGCCGCGCCGAGCACCGCCGCGGCCCCCGCGGAAAACGCCGCGATCGCGTTCTTCCGAGACATGGCCTGCTGGCAGCAGCAGTGCCACGAAGAAGAAAAAATGCGGAGAGTTCGGTCATGGCGCAATCGAGCTTTGCGGGTCCGCGCAGGAGGTGCGGGATGACCCGCAGTCTTGCGGGAACAGCAACAGGCCATGGTTCTTGTTTTTCTTCAAAACATAATACCAGGTAGAATACCTGGTACAGACAATCGCCATTGCTAACATACTACCCGCAATCTTTACCGGTAGTAGACGTCTATCGTATCATATTGCATACTCCATCAAAGGACATATTGCGTGCTACCAGCTGGAGTACATGTAGTCTACGTGGTACTTGTTTCGAGTGCGGGGAGACCCGAGACGTTCCTACTAGTCTGTGTGGTGTCAAAACAACAACGAACCATTCTCGATTTCGTTGCACGAGAGTACATACAGAAGCGCGACAATATAAACGGGTCGGGGTGTGCAGAGAGGGGGGGGGAAGGCAACCCGGCCACTGGCCGAAACATGTGCTGTTTCGTCAGTTGCACCCTTACCCTTCTGACTTGTAGTTGAACAAAATGGGCAACAACTCACAACCTGCAGTGAACAAAAATCTACGTAGCTGCCAGCATGGATCACGCACAACAAGTGTGTACAGATGCGTGAAGAGAGGGTGAAGCACACAGCAGCCCCCAACAATCCGTATACGCTGCGCGCGGTGCGTGCGACTCGCGTGTTGGTAAATGCCGTTGCTGTGGGGAAAAAAGCGACCAGCATGACATGGGTCGGTCTGTCCATCATCCATTTACCCCACGACCGGGCATCACCCCTACGCTCAATAACTGCTAGTCGCGGTACCGATGCAGGTATCATAACTGCTCTTGGTGGTTGGAACCACGACAATATCAATCTAAACCTAGCGTTGTACGGCCAGATAGGTGGCAACTACAATGTACTGCTGTACCTTGATATCTACCGCTGCAAGACCACCCTGACGCATATCACTGAGACACAGAGTACGTAACCGCATCAGATCTGCTTCTGCGTGTTTTTTAGGTCTGATCATGCACGGACGAACATGAAGAGCACGAGCTTTTCTCAAGTGCCGATCGCTCTCTCGATTACATCTACTTCCCCTCTTCGCGTGCGGTATACCTGCCGCCTGCTGTGAGGGAGAGGCCGAGTCGCCCGGGCTCCCGTGTGATGGACGTTCAGCGCGCACACTGCCTACCCGCTCGCTCTCTAACTGCAAGCCTCGATCCCGTTCATGTCACCTTTCAACAGACGAGAAAACTGCACTTGCGAACCACAGCAGGGGCCCTAACCACCACCCCAACAGCAAGCACACCCAACAAGCAGACAGCAATTGTCAGCGTCTCTACGTGCCTGCTGCAGCACACACACACCCATCGAGACAGACAGCAGTAACGCGTTTTGTGCAACCCACCTCGTCTCCCACGGACATGCACACCGCCGAGCTCGAGGATGCACGGGCAGCGCTGGTAGCTCCGGTGCGGGCAGCCAAGGGGCCCGTGAAAGCGGCAGCCAAGTCGCCGGCGACAAGAGCAATCGTGCAAGCGGCGAACGTCTTCATGGTCTTCGCTGATGCTAAGTCCAATCAACCGATCAAATGCAATGCAATGTCCAGCTTCCTCTCTTAGCAAAAGGAGTTGTCTTGGAAAACCTGGGCAAGGCGTTACGTTGTTGCGGGGTTCGGGTGGTATCCGAATGACCTGTTTTTTCGCGGTTTCCTGTTCGCCACCCCTCTCGGTGTTGGTTACATGCATTCCAGCTCATCTACAGCTCATGTATCCTACTTGATGCCCACATAAATGGAATGACGTTACATACAACCTGTGTGCGTAAGGGTGGCGTCTGAGTTACACTGCCGCATTAGTAGTTAGATGAGCATTTGCCATATTATCTTCCCCGTACTTGTACAACTGGCTTCCCTGGGGACGAAAGAAAGGTGTTGTTTGAAACGCGACATACGGGTATCTATTGGAAGTAAGTGCTATGCGCGGTCGAGTGCCGGATCCTCGTTCTTTGGTAGGCGGAACATCCACGAACCTTGGCGACTTTTTTTTTTTTGTCTTCACGTCAAATCAGCGCTCACAGCACTACTAGTGCCGTTCACTTCAACCCGTGGTCACACAGAAGAGCCCCTCTCTACCCTCCCCTCCTGCGGTACTTTGCCTTCGATTTTTAATGCGAGAAGAGTTCAGCACTCTCTTCCCTCTGGGTGTATACGCGAACTACTAGCGCTATCCACTAGGCCAAGAGCGGAAGCGAGAGAAAAACTCACTTTGCAAGAAAGCTCGCTTACGCCGGGACTCGAACCCCTGACCTGACCTCTAGAAGGTTTCGAGGATACCAACTAGACCACCGGGGCGTCCGGCAAAAAGTGGAGGAGTAGGGATTTGAACCCTAGACATTTCGCATGCGAAGCGAACACTCTACCCCTGAGCTACACCCCCATCTGTTGGGAGTTGTAGGATTTGTTTGGTGGATGAATGCATCCCGAGGGAAAAGGTGGGCTAGACTCTCGATCAACGGAGGTAATGGGCGCGAAAAGCGCCGCATTACTTTCAATAGAGTCACCCTTGTACGGTCCTTTCGATGAGATAAGTTCCATCAATTTAGTCAAGGCACCCGAGTGCATACTGAAACTATGTGAGCAATGAAAGTCTCGTATTCCCGCAGAAATGGATGTGACATTGCGGTATTGAAACCCGACGCCTGTCAGGGTACCACATAGGATAAATAGCCGCAACAATCTGCTCGTCCACACGCCAAACGGGTATGGAACGGCAAGCGAACGCATACAAGACCGCCTCCCGTTGCTTCGGGCAACGACTACGATCAATGTTGACTTGCTGCGGCTATAAGGCAGCCCAGCGAGCAAGACGATTTGCCAGAAGATTACATAGATTATTTCGTTCACGTTCACGCACAGGCCCACACAAACAATCGCCAAAGTGAGTACAGACAGACGCATTCCAGATGAACAGACAGCCAAAACTTCACTATGTAGAAAAACATATAAAAATTGCACTATTATAACTACATATAGTGCCTGCTGCTGCCCTGTACCATCCGAGCGAAAACATTGCCCCTGGACGTCCTGGACATGTCGCAACGGCCGGGGAAAAAACCGGCAACCAACGGCGTGAGCGACTCGGCAACAAAGAAAAATACACCATGGCCATAACTTGGGATTCACAGGTACGTACGCATGACGAGGCAGAGCTTTTGAAGGAACAGCGCAGGGACGCTGTGACAATCTCAGGGCATAGGCCACCGACAGCAGTCTGGAAAAAACAAGAACAAAACGAAAATACCCAACAGCCTCGCGAACATACGTTAATTAACAAAAGAGATCAACAGGCGCGAGAACAAAACCACACCCACACAAACGTGTTTGACACAAAATACACAAAACGAGCGCCCCCTTCCATCGAAAAACTGTACCAAACATGAGACTGCCCGTTCGTTGCGCCACCACAACAACAACAACACAGCAATGGCAACGACACCTTCAACGACACCAACAAACACTCCGCAGTTCTATTCAAAAATGGGCTACATAGCATAGTTAAGACTATCTATCTTTCCATCGCGGTGAATGGCAAAGTACAAGAACAGCGAGAGCCAACGCCGTCGTGTCAAATTGGGCTGTAACAGGCATAAATCAGCCTACAATCTCCGGACACGTGGCGTGGTCGATGAATGCCTGCCCCCCGAATATCCAAACGTGCGTGACTTGCAAACCGCAGCCATCCCGTTGGCGCCTACGACCACGCGCCACACACCTCGAGTGCACCCGAATCTTCCTCGACGAGACTGACAGCCAGTTTTCTCCCCACGTTTTTGTTGAAACATTTTCTGTTCGCGGACAACAAAATAAGCCGTGGTAGTTCTCTCGCTCGTTCTCGGAAATCTTCTAACGCCCGTTTCCTCCTGCACGTTGCATGTGTCCCCGCGTCAATCCAA